AAAAAAAAAAAAAAAATTATAATTAAAATTATAATAGAGAGGACCGATGGGGAGGAAGGGACAGTGAAGATGGCTGAGGGCGTGGTCTGACGGTGGCCATCAATGAGGTGAGGAGAGCTTAGCAGTGCCCGCCCGTCTGCTGCTGGAAAACATCTATAGTGTCTTCATCTTCCATCTCCAGCTGAAAGGAGCAGAGGGACAGAAGGTCATACACTCACCAGCCACTTTAATAGGTACACCTGTACAATTGTGTGTACTTCAGGACAACACTTCTGCCTTAACATCTGTGTTTATGACACTCACAATGTTTCAGCTTTTGGTGAAACTGCCATACATAGATAAACTGAATTATATGCCTATTATTGATATCATAGTTAGAGGGGGTGCTGTACTGGACTACATTATATTTAGAGGTGTCTATAATTTTGTCCTGCCCAGTTACATAGATGAGAGGGTCAGAATATTAGGAACACCTGCAGCCAGGTATGAACGGATTGAAGATGTTCCTAATATTCTGACCCTCTCATGGATGTAGCTGGGGAGGAAAAAAATACACAACTGACACTTATATGTCAACTGTGCAGTCAGTTGAACTCTCTCCAGTAGTAGTAGGCTTCTCTGTGTTTCCATTATGTAAATGATCCCTTCAGTAAAGTTTAAAGAGAATATAAGGATGACTAGAACATAATCTTACCTGTGCAGGTGTATCCGTCTCATTGATAGGCTGGCCATCAAACCTGAACCTGATCTGTCTTATTGAAAGACCCTGCAGAAGCAAGATAAAGACCAATACAAATCCATATGCAAAGGTCTTTGGGTACGGGAATGGCAAAGCAGAGTATGCAACTAACCAAAAGGACTGAACGAGGCATTACAGAAAATCCACTATAATTATGCTGTTAGAGAGGAGGACATTTAAAGGCGGTCATTTGGGCTCTTGGCTCACCTGTCGTTCACAATACGCCTTCATTAGTTTACTGAGCGGTGTGTGTCTTTTGATTTTGAACTGGACCACAGACCCATCTTGCCCTGCAACCTTGAGGTTGATGTGATCATTCTCAGTCTTTACTCCCTCCTGCAGACACGAACATTAACAAGAGTTCAAGAGTATAGGTTATCAAGTCAAAGACATGACAAACATTACCTTTACAAGGTTACACTAGAGTCACACATACACTACAGTTAACAGGGCTACAAGCAGGGATATATATACCAAACAGCATGTTAGCAGGCTGCAAGATATAACGTTAGCTTGCTACTTTAAAAGTAATTTAACACTACAACGTAGGTCGAAATGAGACAGAGACATATGGTAGACATTTTAACCAAAACAAATTGGCATGAAGCCGAACAATCCATGCAGGTTACAGGAAGTTAAGCTGCTCGCCGGGCAGTCACAGAAGCTAACGTTAGCATGATTAACTAGCTCCGGGCTAGGTGTTGGCAACCTAGCCCTCCAGAACCAACGTTTAGCTACCGGCTAGCACTGCTAGCACGCTTGTTTTGTTGTGCTGTGGCCAAACACACAGTGGCATGTTAAAACAGCACGATTGCACAAATTCTTTTTTTTTTTTTTTGTATCCGAGTGCGTCACATCTATTATTGCTCTTTTGTAACTGATGCAGTTGCAGTATTTGCGGCGTTGCGGACACAACGTGGTCCCATTTCGACAAAGAAAAAAAACCCCGCAAATAACAGTCATAGTGTAATTTATATTTCTGCTCAACATCTTCGAGAGCCCAGTTAATAGAGCAAAACACTATCAATTTCCATCTACACTGTGCTGTGTATGCACATATAAATGTAAATATGGATGTGCGGGCACTCATTCATTTGCGAAACAAACACTGCGCCGATTCTGAGAAACGTGCAAACCAGGCCATTTTAGATTGCACATCTGAGAAATGGTTTGGCAGGAGCTCGAGTGAGCCATCACATCAAATCTACAGCTCTATAAACCTTAATGCCTCACCTTTGGCTTTTCCTCTGACATTTCGCCCGGATTTTGTGAGACGCTTTTCAGAATAACCGGTTAATTGGGATTTATTTGTCTTTCTGCCGCCTTCTGTCCTCTCTTCTCCTCCACCAACGGGTGCGCGCTTTGGACCGCTGTTGCAAATAAGCGATTGGATCTGAGCGAACCACGTGACTTCTAACCTGCGGGGGCGCGGACACGGGGGCGCGCGCCAATGCTCGATCACGCTACCTGAAGAACTTTTAATATAATCCAATATCAATACCTCTGAATACTGGTACAATAGTCTAGATACAGCACACCGTCTTTCAATGTATTTGCAGCAAATATAGATGTGTTAGAATGTGCATTTGTATGCAATAATAATTGCACACCCTTATTACAGAGCAGTTCAAAACCTGTGGCTTGATTTATAGCACATTTTAGTAACTTTGGCTAATTTTGGTTTCGGTGTATTGTTTTGACATATATAGCACCAGCATCCACAAAAACATACACAGAGTAATTTGTGAAGCACGTCAGGCATTTCTTTGATTTCTTCTCATAAGTTAGTAACTATAGACTGTGCCTTTTTAACGTCTTTACTAAGTACAGGGTGTGAATATGCAGAGCAAGTAATAGTTAAAAGTCTTATGTAAGAGTGGTATAATGTCTCAAAAAATAAAATATAAGTAAAATCTGTACTTACTTTGAAGCATTTATGATACTAAAGTCTTTTATTAGGAACATGTGTTTTATAGGATATACAGGAAATGGTACAATTAGGCTGACAGTCCAACTTTAGGATCAACTTCTTTATTAATGCAGAATGCAAAGGTGAAGATTTCATTCTGACTTCATAGTATGAATATAATATGAATCATTCTTATCAGAGGAGCATGCAGCAATAACACAAAGATGGTTTCCAACCGATCTAATTCAGAATAAGATGAGACATTTTGAAAGAGCAAATGAGAAAAGTCACATAAAGTACAAAAATCGATTCTAATTTCTAAGTACATCTCTAATGCTGCTGCAACTCAGAGAAATAGAAACTAGTGAAATCAGGATAATTGCAGATGCTACGGGTTTTCTTAAAAGTAAGGTTGGCAATAATGGAAAAACCAGCAAGAGAAAGCTTGATTTTGAAAGCAGACAAATGTTGCAGGCAGCCGACAACAACAACATTACTTACAAGGCTATATGTCTTAAAGGGGAAGGCCTGGCCTGTAACAATGGTCTCTGTTTGCGAACGAAAGCTGCAGTGGGTGCCTTCTCTGCCATAGCTCAGTAGCTTTAGCTGCAAAACAGAGTGGTAACACATCTGCTTGCAACTGCAATGGCTCATGCAGTGAGGGCAAGGGCAGGTTACGCGCAAGTAGGAAGCTGGGTTCACAGGCAGCTAATCTGCTACCACAGATGATGGATTCTTTTCTTTATGTTGTCGATGCATTCATTGCCATCGGGATGAAAATTTCAAGATATGTAACAACAAATGTTTCTGAAAAGAATCGCCAACCCTACCTTTAAGCAAAATGAAAGAACAGTTTAGCAATCAAACCGGATTCTTTACTTACTATACAATTTAACTCAGTTTTGTAAACAGTATGAGTACTAATGCTCTATGAGCCATGTGACTACTATAAAATACCTTGAGGAACACTGCTACTATTCTAGCCTTTGGTTCTAGCCTCTTGGATACACACAACATCCCTGTTCATGAGACAGATGAAGCCTGTTACTTTGTTTCAAGTTTTCTTAATTATAATTTACAATGATTCTCAGGTCATGTTTACTTTTACAATTACAAGACAATCTGTTGATATATCCGATGTTGTAGTTCAGGAAGAAACAGGAGGTTCATGGGGTAAAACCTGAGTTCACTGGTCCTCTCATGCAAATCTGGAGTATGGATTTTGCCCACTTAGACCTTGAGAAATACAAAACAGTAACATTAGTAAAGACATTCATTGATTTAAAGAGATAGTTTGATATTTGGGGAAATATGATTACCTGTTATCTTGTTTAGCGATAGATGACAAGGCTAATATGAAGTTAATGTCATATTTCATTTGTTTAATCCATAGAAAAACCAAGATGTAACAGCCACATTTTTGAGGTCAGCTACTAGCTAACCAGCTTGCTGGCGCTAACTTTATATCTATCATACAAACATGACATTAGAGTGTATGTATCTGCTCGGTTAATTCTTGGCGAAAAAACAAGTGCATTTATTAAATATCAGACTATTGCTTTAATAATGTCAAGTGTAAGCCAGAACAAGATGGTCTAATCACATTTTGCTGTACTTAATTAATTCTGCCATTAAAATTCAGGAGTCAACATTTAGATGAACACAAAAATAAACATCTGCATGTGTGTGACATAAAGTTAAGGAAATGGAAAAAGAGGGTGTCAGCAAGCGTTAAAGCTCACCATATTTCTTCCTGATTTCTTCATGTCTCTGCTTCATTTCTGCCTTCCTATAAGGGACGAAACAGCTTCTTATGAGCCATGCAGTGACTGATGATATTTATCAGACTCAAAGACATTCCCAAAAGTCATGTGGCTACAAACCAGTTCGGGCTGAAAGCAGCTTGACGTATCCATGTTTCCCTGACTTGAAGCTGTTTTACAGAGAATAATATTTCTCACCTTTCATCTTGCTTGGTTTTCGTCTTGTTGTTTTGTCTCTGCATCCTGGCATCAAACCTTCTGGATCTGACACAAAAAAACACAAGATGGTTGTGATTAGTTAAAGGACACACTGTGTGTTTCGCGTGCAGACATTTTTAGATAACCAAAAGAAAGTTGACAGAGATTATGTATCATGTGACCATATTATTTTACCTTGATTAGATTAAAATTCTCCAATATACCACACATGATCATGTCATTTTGTCATTGTTATTGTTATAAGTCCATATATTATCATTTTGTTCATGTTTAATAAAAAGAAAATAATGAGTTTTGGTCAATAGTCCTTAAACATAAACAGTGCCTGAGTTTTCCTGTAGTCAAATCAATTATAAGTACTAAATACAGCTCCAAAATGTTTTGTTAAAAAATAACTTGGAAGAAACACCCCCTTCCTTTCCCCTGTATTATTGTACCTGTTGTATTTGAGACTTGCAAAAAAGATCAGAGTAAGGTTTTAAAAAAAGAAAAAGAAAATAAATTACATATAACCAAACCCAGTGAACAGCAGTAACAGGATCACGCTGTGGAGATGTTTTGTCATTGTGCTCCTGTTTCACACCTCACTGAACACTTACCCAATGCTCTCACACTTGCAGCAGCAGAAGAGACAGACCAGAAGTGCAATGATAATGACTCCACCAACCACTGCCAGGGTGATTATCAACGTCTGGAAGTTCACTACAGACAGAGGCAGAGAACCACACTGAGTCCACGGGCCACAGACCTACCTTCATGATAGAAAAGCTGATCTAGTGTTGTACATTGTGTGCTAATATTATAAAAGCAATTTGTTGCTTGCATGCGCTAAAGGCTGTAATTTTTAAACATGTTTTATTATTGTTTTTTGTTATTCTGCAGATAATAACAGATATAGTTATAGACATAGTTTTTCATTGATGCAGTAACTGTTAAGGCCGGTTCTACATTAGAGAGATCTTGCTGGGAAATCTCTGACATTTGGAGTAAAAGTAAAACTCTGATTGGTATTAATTACATTTTTACTTTTTCGTACAATAATTGGGTAGAAATGCAGCTGAATGCCTAAAATGAACAAAAATTAAGAGCTTACTGAAGTCGCAGTGGGGTGTGAGGGGGTCATCTTATTTTGTATTTATTGTAATTCTGTGTATCTTGCCTTTAGTGTGTGTGTATGTGGGTGCGTGTGTGTGTACTGTCTTACTCCAGCAGAGCCCCCAGCGTGCATCATTCAGTGGGCAAAGTGAATGTGGTGGAAGGATAGTCTTGGATGGATATGTTACACATGACTTGGTTGGGATGCACCACAAGCACTGTAAAAAATACCAAAGCAGACAGACACGCGTACACATAAAGCAGAACATGTGGATAAAAATAGATGAGAGAATAGTTTGTGCTCAAACTAGTCTAACAGGTGTGGTGGTGGAGGAGGGGCCACCAGCATGGTTCCTGTACCTGAAATACTACAATTCTTTCATGTGCGCGCTCGACAGGTTACATCCCAGCAGAAACAAAAGGCGTTTTCTGAGGACTTACCGTCACATTTTTTAGACACTCCTCACAGCTTGTCGCATTCACTCTCTCACACTCTGTGGAAAAAACACTCGATTAGTTTAAACACCCAAAATAATCAACAAAGGGAAGCATCACTATCAGCATGAGGTGTACACACATTGCCTCACAGGTAAAAGTGGAAGCGACTAACAAAAGAGATTAGCAGAAAACACTGTGAGAAGCAGATTAAATGAGTCCTGTGCTCACTGTGTTTTTTTAGATTGCTAATCCTCCTGGGACATTTTCCATGGAGACAGAGCACAGAACACACACATGCTTTGGAGCTGTTATATTATTATCAACAGAATACACAGGGCAGCAGCTGGGTTTGTGTCAGTGTAGCCTTGTACGGTATCTGCACAAAGGAAGTGTAAACCTGCAAAGTCTAGTTCTTGTGTGGCCGGTTTGTTTATAGCTACTTCTGCTGGTTTCAGGTCCTGATGGGGGTTGAGCAGAACTGAAAGGTCTTGCTAGTAAAAAGTTTCAACAGTACACAATTTGAAACTAAAAGAAAGAGGGTGACCAGTACAATTGGGCTAATATTAATCTTGGATTTATGTATAGTTTCATATGCTTTACTTAAAATGTTATAAATTATTTAAGACAGAAAATACAAGTGTGATTTAGGACCATCTAAGCTCAAATAAAGGTTTTTGCTTGATTTGTGTCCTTTCCTTTTGATAAACGGAGCTAAAACGGAGCTTAACAGAGAAAATGAAGTGTCGTTCAGGGCCAGAAAGTCCCAGTAAATCAGGTGAGGATTTTCATTCACATTTTACCCTGCACAGAAACAATGACGCAGCTACAGGTGATGAAATAGTTTCCATTAATTCCTCGGTCCCTACACAGTCACAGATTTCCACTCCTACCTGAGCCAGATTTGGGCGAAGTCTGGGCGAAAACTGCCGTCAGACCGAAGACAAACAGGAAAGCGGGGAGTAAGATCCGTAAGTCCAGCATCATGTGCAGTGACCACAAATTATTCCAGATGTTATCGCTCAGAATAATTCTGAAGGTCTGAATGTTCTGCGAGCTCAAAGGGTGGAACTGTGTCGGCTGCTCTGATCGGGAGAAATGAACTTACTGTGAAGGAACGAAAAACAAAATCATGACGCACATTCATTACGCACCAAAGGTAAAAGGGAAGGCCGGGCGTGTGTGGGCGCGCATGTTTTCTTTTAGGCACTAATGGATGAAGTATTCAGATAATCTACTCAAGTAACAATACAGCAAAGTATTACAAGTTTTACATTAAAATGTAACTTAAGCAAAGTGCAAAACTGCTACCAGCAAATAACTAGTATAAATAGAAACATTAAATGGAGGACAATTTGTAATAGTTTATTAAAGCATAATTTGTAAAGCCATTTACAAAAAAACACACACAAATACTGTATCTTGTCTTTCTCTTTTTCTTTAACACAGAAATTTGCTATTGTTACCATAATATTCATTATTGTTATTATTATAAGACATATTCTATCCCCCTTTTGTTTGTTTTCATTTATATATTGTTTTATTTAATTTTTACTATTCAGTTATTGGTATTTTATTATTTTTTTAAAATTTTCCCTTCCGCCACAACCTTTCGTCAACAAACCCAGAGGAGCTGTCAAGAGGATACTCCGCCCTGTCACAGATTATGGATCCAGGTCACTCTGGAGGGGCCTCCGGAGTGGACAGCATGGGTGGGGAGAACCGAGTCACGATTTCCTTTTTCTCTACGATAGATAACATCACTGGACCTCTAGGCCCCTTTCGAACAGGCTTTTTCCTCAGGGTCTGGGAACTGTTTGGGAGGGAAGCATGCAATGGGTCAGCTCTCTCCTGTCAGAATCAAGGGATTGATTCATTCCAGCCTGAACAATCAAAATAAATGCAAATCATGCTGATCAATTGATTGTTTTAATAAAAGCCTGTCATCCTAAGAGGTGTATAAGTGTGTATTAATAACTGTGTTTAAATAAATCTATGTGCATTTGTATCGTAAGAGCAAATGATGAGGAGGTGAAAGCTCTGTGTGGAGAAATCTCTTCATGCAGCGCTTTCAAGATGGGTTCGCTTGACCCGGACAAGGGAATAAATCACACCGTTTCACTGTTATTGCATGGCTACACTCACTGTTGGCCAGTTCGAGTTCAGATTTAGCCTTATAATTTGACTGAACTGTAATTTTGTCTCACATAATTCACTGTTTTAATTACTGAAAAAAGAATAGAGATATAAGGTCTGCAGCCAGGCTAGTTCAGATTAACACAGTTCAAATTCAGGCCCACTTTGCGCATTTGATCTTACTTATGGAGATGAACACTGTCTCTTGAAACACGTCTTTTAGCAGAAGAGAGTTACTGGTAAACTACTACTACTTAGTTGACACTGTATTACAGAGAATATTATTTCTCACCTTTCTTGCAGCTTGGTTTTCATTGTATTGACTTGTTTTTGCGTCTTTGCCCCAAATCTTTTGGTTCTGACACACAGAACACAAAACAAGACAAATGTGATTAGTTAAAGTACACAGTGTGTGTTTCACATGCAGACATCTTAAGGAAACTAAAACAATGTATGAAGAAATGTATACAATATGTGACCATATTATTTTACCATGATTAGATTAAAATCCCCTGTGTAAAACATATGATCATGTCACATCAGTTCAGAGACTACAAGGACAAATATGAACAAATACACTTGACTAAGTTCACACTCCGGCCTTACCCACAACAAGCTAGTTGTGACACTAACCATCTGTGAGATATAACAATTTCTGACCTAATACTTGAGCATGGCCATTTTTTATCCTTATATCTAGCAATATAGCAATATAAAACCTGAATGTAACTTTTTCTATATAAAAGTAAACTATGAGAGCTGAACCCAGGATCACTGACAAACCACAGTCAAAACTATCTCATCATAAAACAAATATCTTTGTAATACAAACAACCCTGGAGGTATCACTGTCCCCGTTTTGTGACCAGTATAGCTGTGGGCTACCTATGTCAATCAGGTGGTTTTCATCATGTTTGTTCTTGTAATAACTTCTTCTCAGGAGATAACTTCACAAACCACTAAGAGCTCCTACTGCATTTACATACTTATAATGTTCTGTACATGATTCTTTGTAATTGTTGCACTTGAGACTGTGTTGAATTAGCTACATTTGAGCCTAGAACAGATGACGTTAAGCTAAGAAATTACACCTCTTAAGATATTGTAACATTCTCCCCATGTAAATTGGTGCCATTGATAAATGAAAGCCAACGAAGAGAAGCTTTTGTTGTTGAGTGGTTTCACTGTTGTGTTTCTGTTTGGTCAGATAAAGTTAGACCCAGTTCACTGAACACTTACGCAAGGTTCTTTAAGACAACCACCAAAGGGGCAGTGATAATAAGTCCACCAGTCACTGCCATGGTGGTTATCACAGTCTTGAAGCTGACTGCAGACAGAGGCATAAAAACATTGTTATGCAGGAGTCCGCGGCCAGAAAGAGAGAGAGAGAGTGTTTGCATGTACTGTCTTACTACAGCAGAGTCTCCAGCGTGCATCAGTCAGTGGGCAGAGTGAATTTGATGGAAGGATGGTCCTTACTGGAAGTGTTATACAAGAGTTGGTTGTGATACACCACAAGCACTGTAACAAAATACCAAAACAGACATGCACGCATGCTGTAAATGCTGAAAATTGATGAGAAATTAGTTTGTTCTCAAACTAGTCTAGCAGGTTTTGTTGTGAAGCAGGAGCCACTGGCTATGGTTCCTCTACCTAAATCATTTTTCTATCATGCTAACACACACGCACACATGAACACGTAATATGTCAAGCCAGCACAAACAAAAGGCTTTTCAGAGGACTGACCTCCACATGTTGCAGACACTGCTCACAGCTTGTCTGGTTCTTCGCCTCACACACTATGGAAACATATTCACTTTGCTTAAACACCCAAAATAATCAACAATGGGGTGTTTCACAGTCAAAATGAGGTGTACCCACACTTTACCTCATAAGGAAAAGTGCAAGTGTCCCAGGACTTTGCTAAAAATAATTTCCAATCCTACCTGTTTCAGCTGCAAAAGTCTGGCCAAAAACTGTCATCAAACTGAAGACCAGCAACATCTGTAAATTCAGCATCATGTGAAATGAGAACAGGCTACTGCACATGGCTGAAACTCGAGAAATAAACTTGCCAACCTGGAACCAAATGCAAAATCCTGACGTACTCTCACTACTCAAAAGTAAAGGAAGGCGTGTATGTGTCTGTCTGTGTGCACATTTTCTTATAAGTAGTGGTGGAAGAAGCATTCAGATTATTTACTTAAGATAAAAAAAATACTCCATTACAAGTCTTGTAACCAAAATGTTACTTATAAGAAAAAGTGCAAATGTATTACCACTTAATATACTTAAAGTGTTATAACAAAATTCACATTTAGTCAACACGTTCTTTTGAGATACTTGTACTTTATTTCAGTGTTTCCAAATGATGCTTCTTAATGCTTCACAGTCCTGCATCTCAAAAAGATACACTATGTTCTGCTTTTTGCTAAGTTACATTTTGCTGGTAATACTTTTATACTTTTACTGAAGTATACTGATCTAATTTTGAATTTAGAGCATGCACTTTCAGCATAATAGAGTAAAAATATTTTAGAACATACCTCAAAATTGGGGTGCCCCGATAGGCGGATATTTACGGCGTGGCGCACCATATACCAGGCATAGTGTGCACACGACGGCAGTTCAACTCCGACTGCAGACTCTTGTTGCAGGTCTTCTCATCTGTCTCCCTGATTTCCTACCCGCCTCTCAGTGACCCACTGTAATATATGTACATAGATAGATAGATGAAAAAAAGCCCCAAAAATATTAGCAAAAAAGAAAATACCTCAAAATTGCTGTTAAATACAACAGCTGAAGGTACTAACTAGAGCCCTATGTGTGTCAAAATAAATGTACAAAGAAAACATTAAATGGACAATTTCCAATAATTTATTAAAGCATAATTTTGTAAAGCCAGTTACAAATTAAAAAAAGAACTGCACACACATCTCTCTCTTTCTCTTTTTCTTTCACAAGCACAATGTTTCACTATGTAACAATAATAGGTATAACATAGGATAAGAACAGGCCCCACTCTGGCCGCCTGCGGCTGATAACAGGACCCTCTGTGATGAAGTTGCCCTTAAAGACCGATTTGTGATCAGACACTTCAAAATCAAACTTCAGTTTATCATTCTTTTTTTGTTGTTTGAAGTACTGATCACACTTCAGCACCTTTGGCAACTTCGTCCTACTCAGTATAATATCAGTGACAGACAGAACCATAGGTGTAGAATAACTAGAACAGGCATCTCCAGGTTCCTCAGTAATTATGGCTTATAAACTTTACTTTCCCTTTTCGCCAACAGAAAAGTAACCAAAAGTTCAAAGTGGAACCTCTGAGTGAGTTCTGCTTATTCTAACTCTATCGGCAAGATCCCAGTGGGTTGTGTGTTTGCAGTCTGGGCCATAACCACAATTCAGTATACTGAGGTCATGTTCTTGGATAGCGTTTGTGATTTGTAGAAATTTGGGGACTTAGCAAAAAGATGCTATACATTTTGCAATGAAAACCTACATTTGGTTGACATTTCTAGTATTTTCAGAGTCAGTATATTTCATTTTAAATACTTTGAGGCCAAATATGTGAATAATTCACCATTTCCCCTCCAAACCTGTGGCACCTTGGCGGCCTATAGGGGTTGAGTCTTGCTAGGGATCTTTGTTGCATGTCATCTTCATATCTTTTCCCTTTTTCTGTCATCACCCTAACTTTTTGACCACATTCAGAAATAAAATCCCCAGACTGAATAAAAATAAAACTTAAAGCATACAATTATGATGTACATTGTGGAAATCTTGGTGTTTTTCTGTAGGGTGAGGATTTGTCATAGACCGATGACCTCAGTATTTCTAAAGTCTTGGCTACGGCCCTGTACGCAGCACTCCAGACATACAACAAACTATTGAAGTTCAAGCTGACTTAAACAATTAGTATGGAAAAGGACAACAAATGAAATTCTTATTGACATAGAAACTAGTTTACACACAACATTGTGTTTACAGTGTGTCTTGTCTTTTAGAGGAGGGGTCCTGACGTCTACCTGCAGTGTCACACTGTCAGGTGATGTTAACACAACAGTGACTTCATTTATAGTCCAGAACACATACACACAAAGCAGTGCTGTCTTTCAATGTTCCTGGTGCACAATTACACAATTTTCAAGTGCAGATACTCACAGTGTCTTATCTGCTCCTCTTATACTGAGGTTGAAAAATACCAGTATATTTTTAATACATTATTTTCCCCAACAGACCTTGCAATACATACAATACACTAAGAAATAAATAACCCCTAACCCTCCCTTGGAATCCCATACTTTCCCCTTTAACTCACGATCACGACACCATTCTTTGCAAAGGTTAGTCATGTAAATACGTCTTATTTCCAGATAATACACTTAGTAAAATTACTTCTCTTTTCTTGTTTCCCTTTTCGTTTCCAAACATTTGGATTACACCATTAATATACTCACACACATACACACACACAGCAGAATTCCTGACACAGCACTTCAGGTTGGTTAAGATAACAGGGGGCATACAGTCATAATAGTAGTAGCATTAATAAAAGTCAAATGTTCATAAACAAGTTGGAAATAGACAAATGGAGTTTTATGCATTATTGTTTAAGCCACTGATCTCCTCTGTAAAGGATAAGCAGACAAGGATATAAGGTATTTTATGGCTCTGGCTGATGTTTTAGGGTGAGCCCAGCAGACAACAACGATGCTAAATTCATCAAATCACTGTAAAAACACAACCAGCAGAGCAGCCAGTCTCCTTATGGCCTGTTACATTATGGTCTTTTACAAAGTCTTACTTCTCTGCGAGTCAGATTAATGGCACAGCCAGTGAACGATGTGTAGTATTGGCATCATATTCAGACATACAGTGGTCATAATCACTCATTTGCACGTATTTTACACGAGATCTGTGACATTGCATTTAGTATGGCATCTATACTGTGCAGTACAGTGGTTACTGAAATTCTAATAATCACTCCTATAATGTGTGATATACAGTACACAAAGGTACAAGTTGGATCAGTTTATGCATATGAATATACACTAAATTAATGCAGTGTGTTACAAGTCGACATTGGGAAATGTACTGTCATACTAGTCTGGTTGATATTGTTCTCCTTGCAGAGTCAAGTGAGGCTGGTAACCATGTACAGACTCTCTATGTCAAGGTAAACATGGCCAGAGAACATCCAACCCAAAACCTCTACTCTTTCTTCTCAAGAATAGCTATATGATATTGTTCAGAAATATTTAAAGCCACTTCCTTTGGCTGTCTTCTTCTTATGGCCACATAGTGGCACTGACGCACGAGCTAGTGAGCACTATTTTCCCTTTAGTAGCCCTGAACAAGAATCGTCATTGAGTCCTTTTTCTCAGTCACAAACAGACATAATCTAGCTGATGTTGATAAAAGACAGAGAGAAAGCAAGCAAGAACAAGAATTCAGCATTACTAAGTTAATACCAATTGTAAACAAAGATGCAGCAGGAGTGAGGACACATGAAGAGAAAGAGAGAGACTTTGAACTTGGACGAGAAGTGATAAAGAAAGAATAAGTGAGAAAGTGTGGCTTCCTTCTGTCTGGCAGTGCACTAGGGGTGAAAAAAGGAGGCCACCTGGGACAGAACGGGACTGTGCGGTTGAGCTGTGCTTGTGAATATTGAGGTTTTTTTTATCTGTAAAGGAAAGTTGGGAGAAATTTGGAGTGTGCTTGAACATCTACATGCAGGACTATAGCTGGAGGGTTAAGTACTTGAAAGTACTGTCCCAAAATACATGTTTTCTTGTCATGCTCCTTTTTAAGTAGACCCTTTATTCCCTATCCCAAGTGAAACCCAGGCCAACAGTGTGTACGTTTAGTTTCTGTGTGTCCACTTTCCCTAATTTGCTTTTGACGCTCATCCACTAGTCTTGAGTCATCCTCTTGAGTATTAGCTGGTCGGTGTGATTGCCTCCATTAAAACCAACCAACCAATTCCGAGAGATGAGGCATGTGTTTGCCTTGGGATGAACTGAGGGCTCTGACTGGTTGGTGGCGATCACCTGCCCCAGGAACTGGCAACGCTGCTCACGGACATGATGCTGCAACGTTTCTTCACCATCATGTTAATGTAGGCCCTCATGATCTTGGTGATCTCTCCAACCTAGGGGTAAAACATTGGTCAGTTTGTACTGTGCATTTGCATGTCTTCATTAATGTATGAGGAGGAGCTAAAAGGTGAAAGTGAGATTTTGATCCACGCTAGTGATCTGGTTCCTGTGCAGTCATAGATCAGTCTATCTTTGGCCCAGATTGAAATACTGTATCTCATCAACTGTTGGATGGATTGAAAATGAAATTCTGACATTAAAAGTCCCCAGAGGATGAGTCCTAATGACCTGATGGCATTCCAGAGATTTCATCTAGTGTGTCAGTGAAGTTATCATGTAGGTTTTGAGCAAAATTTCTTGAAAACTGTTAACCTGTTAAACACCACGTCAGCATTGTCAGGGCAAACATGTTAGCGTCCTGATGTTAGCATTTAGAGCACCACTGTGTCTGTATACCCTGACAGCTGCTAGCATTGCTGTAGACTCTTAGGCTTGTTGTTTTGTGAAATTTAGACAGCACAGAAAGATGCCAATAAAACTAAATGCATACTGAAAGCCATTTAAAGCTTTTATATCAAGCTGGACTAAATTGTGACAGATGTTTTTCCCTAGTTTCCATAATTTTTTAGACATAACAATTAATAGAATGAAAAAAATAAAAGTCTCACCAGTGGAGTCTCAAAAAACATTTCCCTCTCATCCACAATGATCTTGTATGTGCTGGGCTGTGAAGCCCCAAAGAAGGTGATGTGCTCGTACTCGAAGGTCTCCAGAGGTTTGGGTTCACCTCGTTTGTACACAGACACGTTGTCAGCGCTCACACCAAGCCACAGATCATGGGGAAAACCACCTTCTTTACACTGCAGTGAGAAGACAGTAGGAAAGGGATAGTATTACTTGTCATATTTAAAAAAAAATCTCATATAAACAAATTTTGTGCATAATCCATCCTGTTTTATTTTTGTCACCTCCACATCAAACAGAGTAGAGCCATATCCGGGCCACTCCTTGATAATACTCATATATTTAAGCATGGCCTGATGCTGGGGCATTCCCTGCAGCCGGGTCCACTTCTCCAGCACGCTGGTCCGTGTGGCAGACGTCTCCTCCTTCACCCACATCTCCAGCATCTGCTCCTCCTCCACCTGCAACAACACAGGTCCGTCAGTCAGTTAATGCTCTGTCAAACTATCAATCAGTCTGAGATTCATTCAGCCAGAAATCCAGTCAGCTGGGTGGTCCTTCTGTCATTTAGCAAAACAAAAGAGAGTTTTGCAGAAGAATGCAAAATCCATGCAAATCAGTGTTTCAAAGCAAATCTCTCTATGTCATGTCAGACATACTTCACTGTGCCACCACATGACAACAACTGGAAACTACAGCTGGAAAAAGACAGCTCCTGCCTGGACAGGATTACCCAGGACAGCTACAACACATTCTGAATACATTTCTTTCTGTGGACTTCTGTTGTAAACTTGCAGAGTATTTTGAAGGCCAGTCACTAAGACCTACTCAAGTCAACTCAAGGCAATAACTGACCTGAAAGATGGTGTGTATGTTCAAGTCAATAAAGAAAGTAACCCTGTTTAAGTGCAAGGTGATTTTACTGAATGGTTTGCAAAGTAGTACAGTGTAATGCATAAAGTATAGGTGATTTATAGTATTTATAGTAAATGGGCTAAATGGGTTTTTCCTTTGCTGCTGACCTTCTGCTTCTTCAGTGATCCAGTCTTGAAGCTTCTCCTCAGGGTACCATCCAGGAAGCTCGGGGTCTTCCGTTTCTCTATCCCGACTCCGACACCTCCCTGTCCTCCCGCCATGCCCTTTCCATCTCCTGTTCCTGCTCCACCTCCTCCTGCTCCACCGGCCACCCCCACACCCGGCTTGGTGGAGTGCAGGATGCGAGTGCGGAGACGTCCAATCGGATAGACGCTTCCCAGACTCCACCCAGCTCGACCTGCCCCATCACCATGGAGATACTGGAGGCGTAAAGCGGCCAAGTGCTGCAAAGTCTCTTCTGAGCCCGGGAAGTGGCCGCTTATCAAAGACTCATGAGCCTGACGGAGAAAGAGAAACAGAGTCAGCACATTTTACATGTGTAATAAATGGGTTTAGTGAGAAAAGAAAAAGACCAATGCTGCTTAGTTCAGGGTAATCTCAGTATTTTGAACAAATTATACAATTTTTCTTAATGAAATTGCCTTTATAAATATCAACATGAGTAAATGGTACGAACTGCTGCCTGTTACTGACTTATGTATGTAACAGGAGATAAACAAGAGCTGTGAGAACAAAACTCTGGTAAATGGATAAATAACTATGGATAACTATGATAAATTTGACTTTATGTCACAAAAATTACATTATAGTTCTGTCCATGTCAGGAAGTGTAGAATGATCAACATATTGTTTCTAATTCATTTTGTGTCAATGTATAATGTTCTAGTTAGTTTTTTAATTATATGGATTTTAGAAAGTAATTCCACAGTAAAGAATTTATCAATGCAATTATCCTATATCAAAGGGAAATAAGTGATCTCAGTCTCAGAGATTAGTAATTGTGTCTTCTTCTAAATCTCTACCCCACTTGTGAAATAAGTCTCACCTGTTCAAACATGAAAGCAAACTCCACTCCCTCTTTGGGCATGCTCTCTACGTCCAAGAAGCAGTAGAGTTTGAAGTACAGTTTCCATTCTCCTTCCTCTTCTTCCTCTTCACTGCCTGCCAATCTGGAAAACATATACAACCAACTCCGGTAAAATCCTCAAGAACAGAAACAGAAACCAAAAGAATCACAAAAGGCAAAACTGTTTCTCTCTAAATCAATATTTACACACATGTAACCCAACCAAACAGCTGTGCAAATTTATTTCTTATAGATCAATACACTGAGTTACCTTTCAAACTTGGCCAGAACATCTGCCACAATCACTCTGCTCTCCAAAGCACGATCTGTGAAGTTGTTGTGCTCAAACAAAGAGAACAGGTTCTTACTTTCCTCCATGGCCAGACCTCTGATCAGTTTCTCCACAACCTGCAGCAGCCATGTTAAACCATGGATTTGTTTTCAGGAAAATGTAGCAAGTCCTTACTAATAGAGCTTGATCTGATCTTTCACATGTGCCCTGAAAAGTGTTTGTACTTCTGTATGGGGAAGACAATATGTGTATGTGTGTCTTTTTGCACCTCTCCAGCAGTGGTGTGTGAATTGATGGAGATCTTGCAGGAGCCTCCTCCATGACAGTAGACAGTGGTGCTCATCTCCTGTCTCACCAGCAGGGCGGCGATTTCCTCCTGGGAGGGAACAAACTCACGAGTCTTGGTCTTCTTCAGGGATTCCACGATGAAACCGGCGTAACGCTCGATCTCTGTGCCAGGATAACGCTCACGCACCCTGAGTCACAAACACACATTTATGATACATTCTTTCATGAATGATAAATCAGAGAAGTGCCATTCATGCTGAGGATATACACACCGTTTGAGATGGAAGCGGAGGTATCTGAGAATGGCTCGACTGGGTAGGAAGGTGCAGCTCATGCAGGTGAGCAGATGCCAGTGTGCCCGATTGGCCGGGCTGTTCGGCTGAGGCACATGATTGGTCTGCTTGATCACCTGACAGTACACCTGAAGAACAGAAATACAGAGGGGAGCTGAGAAATCAAAAGTTTTAATCAACATTTAAGGACAAACAAACAAATCAAACTCCTACAAATGTTCTTTGTCATATATTCAAACATCTCTCCAGCCTTTTCTCTAATTTTGATTCTTTTGCAATGCTGTGTAAGTCAAAGTCCGTTGTTGTTTGGATAAGAGCAGCAAGTGCAGAAGACTTTTTTTGACAAACCAATTACCTCATCCCTGAGAGGGCGCAAGTCCTGACAGGTCTGCAGGATGCCCTGAATGATGGGCACCGTGTCTGCCAAAGTCTCCATCTCCTGCATTGAGTTGAAAACCCGCACGGCCTCATCCTGCAGACTGGCATAGCCCTGCTGCTTTTGTACTGCATGCAGCAAGAAGAAAATGAAAAAAGTGAACAAAGACAGAACATTCTTGACAAATACACCAAATCATCCATAACATTATGACCACTGACAGGTGGAGTGAATAACAATGATTATCTCGTTACAGTGGCACCTGTCAGTGTGGGGGGTATGTTAGGCAGCAAGTGAATATTCAGTCCTCAAAGTTGATGTGTTGGAAGCAGGAAAAACGGGCAATTGTAAGGATCTGAGTGACTGAGCAAAGACTAGCTATGAGCAATGTACTTCTGGGAAAACTTGGGTCCTGCCATCCATGCGGATGTTACTTTGACAGGTGCCACCTACTTAAACATTGTTACATCCCAGGTACACCCATTGATGGCAAAAGTATTCCCTAATGGCAGTGGCCTCTTTCAGCAGGGTAATGCACCCTGCCACACTAAAAATTGTTCAGAAATGGTTTCAGGAACGATACAACAAGTTCAAGATGTTGACTTGGCCTCCAGATTCAATCCAACCGAGCATCTGAGGGATGTGCTGGACAAATAAGTCCAGTCCATGGCGGCCTACCCCGCAACTTACAGGACTTTAAGGATCTGCTGTTGTTATCTTGGTGCCAGATACCAGGGGACAGCTCGAGAGGACTTGTGGGATCCATGCTTTGATGGATCAGAACTGTTTTGGCAACAAAAGGGGGACCTACACAATATTAAGTAGGTGGTCATAAAATTATGGCTTATCGGTGTGTAATGTTGGTCAGTGTTAGTTGATGCTGAAGAACAGTAATGAGGAGCAATAAAAAAATGTCATTCATAGGACTGTTGAGATGACACCACTGTGAGACATTAGGAGTGATATAAAATAGCTCCTTAGTTAGCATTACTGTCAGAGTACAATATTTCAGCATCTTTTAGATCACTGTAAAGTTGAATCAAAAAGTAATAATTCACTGGAAGGTAAATCATAAGCTTTGTATACACAGGCGGCTTCATGTGCAAAGTCAGAACTTTGGTTTTCAAAGCGATATAACATGCATAGGGTACATCTCAGTTGCCCTGATCGCATCCACATTTCCCTCAATTGCGTCTTTTTATTATTTTAGGATGGAAGGAAAAGCTGAGTAGAGAGGAAGCCATGAAATGCATTTTTGGACTGAGAAATCTGGAAAGAAATCAAAAGTTTTAATCAACATTTAAGGACAAACAAACAAATCAAACTCCTACAAATGTTCTTTGTCATATATTCAAACATCTCTCCAGCCTTTTCTCTAATTTTGATTCTTTTGCAATGCTGTGTAAGTCAAAGTCCGTTGTTGTTTGGATAAGAGCAGCAAGTGCAGAAGACTTTTTTTGACAAACCAATTACCTCATCCCTGAGAGGGCGCAAGTCCTGACAGGTCTGCAGGATGCCCTGAATGATGGGCACCGTGTCATTTTTGGAGACATGAGATGTCTTCAATCGATCATCAGAAGCATCCAATCACCAACTGATTTCTAATAAACGGGCATGTTGGCCCATCTGCAAATGATGGTCTCCTGTGTACTTGCTCATGTCTCCTCTGGGCAGTCTCCTTGCTCCTCAGAGCAGGAAAAAGAGCTTTGGGATGTTCTTCAAGATGGTGGACAGAAACATCTACAACTGAAACTTTTTAACATGCACAGTACAAAATGTGAAGGAAGATGAGTGGAAAGAGTTGTTTGATAGGGGGTGGGGATTTACTTACAGCTGGTGACTTCCCCATAAGGGAGGGGCAGTAGAGGGGAGTGCAAAGGATGCTGGGTGTATCTGAGGATGGGGTTCCTCCTGTACATCTGCTCCACTATATCTGGGTTCACACTACTCTCCTGAGAGAAGACAAATTCAACATACAAATGAGATTCTATCTTTTAAAATGCTCACTTACTGTGTCTGTGCATCATACCTTGATGTCTCTGATGAGCTGCAGCGTTGGAGTTTCTATGGGGGTCTTGCTGTCTATGACTCCCTGTATAGCAGCTGTCCATCTCATGGCCTCATTCAGCATCTTGGTATAAAGGCGATAGGAATGCTTCCTCCCATACACTATGATGTTCCAGTAGCCTATAAAAACAGGATTTACTCAGCCTTTACTGCTTAAATTTTTTTTTTAAATCCACTGAAGGGATTCTTAGTTTTTATGGAGATGTAGACTTATCTAAATGGAACCCAGTTTTTGGCACATTTTTCATGCACTGTATATAATCACACATGTGATCCCTAGCCTCCTACAGGTATAATCTGCAGTTAAACCTGCCCTTTCACCCTCTTCCCCCATTTCTCTTTGCTCACCCGTCTCCCTGTGCACTCGTTCATCCGGCTGAATGACAGAACAGAGGGAGTTAAGGACCAGAGTTCCCATCTTGGAAGAGTTTTTCTCTGAGCTCTTGTAATAATCCAGGGAGTTGTGGGTCAAAACAAACCAGCGCTTCTTCAACTTAAGGGAGGTGCTCTTAGCGTTTGTCTTCATCTCCTTTTGGAGCCAGCCTAAACAATAATGAGACAGGAACATGGGCATGCATGATACATTTCACCTGAATCTCTTGCAACAAGACATTTTAAATACAAGTCCAAGTAATATGTTTGTTAATATCCTGTATACATTGGTTTGTCAGTGTCCTGTCTTTTGAGTTGTCTTATACAAACATTTTATCACACCTATTTTTGCTTACTTTATCACTAATATTTTAAATGGTAAACGGGCTATATATGAACTAAATTAATTAACTCTTCTAAGCTTTATAACTCACTGACCCCACATGCTTGTAAGATCCAAATAATTCCTAAATGTTCTAACAGAGAAGTGTATATGAAGGTTTATAAATACCCACCAAAAATGCATCCTCACCTCTAATAAGGAACTCCTGCCCATCAATCCTAGCGTCTCCTTTGGGTTTTTGCAGCAGACTGATCCAGTGATGCATCTCCTCTGGTGTGTCACTGTTGCAGTGGATCACACGGTTGGCTGTAATGATGACAAAGGAGTTGGGCCTGCAAAGGTCAAACGAGAGACTCTTAAATAAATTTAAAAAATCCACCTTAAGATGTTTAACCATCTTCTAAATAAGATGGATATAATAATGGCAACTTGAGTTTTCTAGTTAAAGAAACACAGCGATAGTGAATCTATATTTATTCATATGTACTCATGAAAGACACAAAGGTTTAAGCAACTAATGTTAGGACTAGTGTTGCTGAGTTAATCAGGAATGATTTGCAAAGAAAGTTGGTTCATTTGTAGTATTTCCAAATTAGTTCTAGAGTAGCTTGTTATTACCTACAGTATATCTAGTCCTTGTTTCAGACGTAGTTACAGTACGAACTACTACTACTACTACTACTACTACTATTACTACTAGTGACTCATCAATTATGTCATTCCTCCTCTTTCCTTAATAATTACTCAGTATTTTGTGTGCCTTGTTTTAAAGTGGTAAGCATTTTATTTTAAAATACAAGCTGAACTCTTTTACAGTCTTTTGGGGCTATATTTCCTTTTCTACAACATATTTCAGTCAGGTCAGCTGGTCAAACCTCAAGCATGTCTTAAAGACATAAAGGCCTGGATGACCTGCAACTTCTTACTTTTAAACTCTGACAAAACTGAAGTTATTGTGCTTGGGCCTGAAAACCTTAGAAATCTGCTGTCTAATCATATAGTTACTTTAGATGACATAGCTCTTGCCTCCAGTACTACTGTGAGGAACCTTGGAGTCATCTTTGATCAGAATATGTCCTTTAAATCACACATAAACCAAGTCTCTACATCTGCCTTCTTTCACCTGCGCAATATTGCAAAAATCAGGAGCATCCTGTCCCAAAGTGATGCTGAAAAACTGGTCCATGCATTTGTTACTTCCAGGCTGGACTACTGTAACTCTTTACTATAAGTATATCCCAATAATTCCCTAAAAAGCCTCCAGTTAATCCAAAAGGCTGCAGCCAGAGTACTGACAGGAACTAGCAAGAGAGATCATATCTCTCCCATATTAGCTTCTCCCCACTGGCTCCCTGTAAAATTCAGAATAGAATTTAAAATCCTTCTCCTAACATACAAAGCCCTTAATGACAAGGCTCCATCGTATCTTAAAGACCTCGTAGAGCCTTATCATCCTAACAGAGCACTTCGCTCTCAGAGTGCAGGTCTACTTGTGGTTCCTAGAGTCCACAGAAGCAGAATGGGAGGCAGAGCCTTTAGCTATCAAGCTCCTCTCCTATGGAACCAACTCCCAGTCTCAGTTCAGGAGGCGGACACCCTCTCTACCTTTAAGACTAGACTTGAGACGTTCCTTTTTGATAAAGCTTATAGTTAGGGCTGGATCAGGTGACCCTGAGCCTTCCCTTAGTTATGCTGCTATAGGCCTAGGCTGCTGGGGGCCCCATGATGCTCTGAGTAGCAGTCACCGGCCACATCGACCTGATCAGTGTTTGATTGTTGTGTCTTGTTGCTTTTCTTCTTTTGTCTCTCCTCTATCCACTCACCCCAACCGGTCGAGGCAGAAGGCCGCCCACCAAGAGCCGGGGTCTGTCGGAGGTTTCTTCCGTTAAAGGGAGTTTTTCCTCCCCACTGTCGCCAAGTGCTTGCTCAAGGGGGATTTGTTGGGTTTTCCCTATGTAATAATATTGATAACAGTAAGGTCTAGACCTTACTTTGTAAAGTGTCCTGAGATGACTTTTGTTGTGATTTGGCGCTATACAAATAAAATTTGATTTGATTTGATTTGATTTGATATTTTTCCTGTATGTTTGGAGAACAGCAGAACATCACTGTTGTTAGACGTCCCTGTCTCTATGAACTTTCAGAGATTTTCTTTGGCACCAGAAATCATCTGCGATTAAATTCAGCGAATTTTAAAGACATGGACAAAGTGGGGCCATATATGCAAATCTAATCAGCATTCTCTTTCTTCATGATGATTGAGCCAACTTACCGATCGGGGTTGTCCGATGCACAAACAGAGTCAATCAGCCCAACGTCGAGAGTTCCCTAAAGGAGAAAAGGGGACAGAATGAAACATGAACCAATGGTGCACCATTCTTACCTATATTCTACATACAGTTTGTGTGTAATGAGGAAATAGAATTATGGAAAATGACTTTAGCTCATAATAAAGACTGACCACAGCATTCTTTGGGTTGGCCTGTTCATGGGACATCTCCAGCAGCTGTTCAGGAGTGCACACTCGCACCTTACTGAGGACATTAAACCACCCGCTGCGCACAGAAAGAGACAGAAGTGCTGTCACCACTTAGAACATATGAATTTACACTGATACTGTACGTGTTTCTATTTTCTGCATTATCACTGAGGTGTCCTTCACACCTTGCATCCTCTGGTGACTCAGCAAACACCTGATAGGTTCTCTCATCTGTCACAATGTTCAGAGCATTTTCCTTCTCATGGTTATTTACTATCTCCCTGCAAAAACACAAGCAAAAGGCATGACTGAGAAATGCAGCTGATGTCTAGAAGACACAAAAAACAGCAAATGAAGTATCACGTGTTTGTTTTGACCCTCGAGATTGTTAGAAATCTTACTTGGCAGCTTTAATGTCGATGGTTCCCTTCAGCTTCTCCTCGCTGTCGTTCTCATAGTACATCAGCTTAGTGTCCCTCAACACAAACCAACGCATCTTCCAGTTTCTGAGGCAGAATAAGACATAGTGAAAATATCCTCTAGAGTCCTGAGCTTTGGAAACCCAAGCTGTGCAGTCCTCATATGAGGACGCAGGGACTCTAGAGGATAAGGCAAGCATATCCACTCTAGATGATATGAAGGTTTATTGATCTATGTAAATTATACATGCACCTATTTGGCTCCATTTGGAACACAAACGGAATCAGTTTCTTTAAATAAAACATCAATCTGAAGGTGGAAGTGACAATCCAAAATTTCTATGTCAATGCAATTAAAAAGTCTTTTAATCTATTTGTAGGTTTTGAAGAATCTTTATCAAATAATAGTAGTTTTATTTTCTGTCATATCTTTCATTTTCACTTAAAACCATGCTGGCCTGAATTATGTCCTTTTTACCTACAATGTCTTCATCAAGCAAACATGCAAAACTTGCGAAACTGTTAGAGCATGCATTCACTGTCTGATGCTGTCATACTATCAGCTTCTAAAGAGACAATCAGAAAAGTAGTGCTCTAAAGTTAAATACATGTGGATTTTAAGGGAATTTGATGGCCATGGCCAACACCTGCTCAGCCGCTTAATCATTTAAGTGAAAATTTCTAATGAGGTTTTCACATTATCAAATTGTTCTAGACTGCACTTCAAGCAGAGACGTGGTGCAGAGTTTCATTTAATTAGCATGCATTCTACACTCAGCATCAACTACAACAACCTCCGTGAGAGAGTGGAGAGGCCTCCTCCCTTCTTGTAGAGCCAGCCAGACTTGAGAGACTCTTGTTTAGATCGGAACCACATGAAAGTTTCATCTTTTAACACACACCAACGCCTCCTCCAGGGGATCATCAGACCAGCTGAGGGAGCAGAGGGTGAAATTTCATTCCTAAAAAAGCATTACTGTTAAAATTTAAATGGTGCAAGTAGTTTAATGTTGAGAATAAAGAGCCATCTGTGGATAAAAAAGTACACTCACCCTTCATGTAAAGGTAGCCGTGGAAATATGGTGGCCCATTTCCATTAAACAAAGTCACCCTACCATTAGTCACTTCTTCATCAGTGTCCATAATGCCATCGTGCTCATCGTCACTGTCTGCATACTGGACCAGCAGAAAAAACAAATTATTAACACTTATTTTTACAGCAAATTATCTAAAAAATAACTACAATACATTATCAGATGTTTTAAATTAAGAATTTTGTCAAAAACATAAAATTTCACTGTATAGCTGCTCATACATATCTGTGTGCGCGCATGTGAGCATGCGTGTGAGTGTGTGTCCTCACAGAGTCAGAGCTGCCTCTGTAGGACTCTATGCTGGCATTGGTGCAGGTCGACTTCCTTGGGTGTTCCTCATCCGTCACAGTGGTGCTTCCACGGTTGCTCCCGGATACAGAGCTGTCGTCTCCAGCATTAACAGACCCCTCTTCTTCCTCCTGGTCGTAGTCCGACTCGGTGTCAGCTGGCATGCTGTAGATCGGCTCCTCGCCATCCACCAGGCTCTCCGCCATGCTCACCTTCCTCTCCCGCTCTGCCTTGACTCCCTCATTCTTCTCCACCTCTCCTTGGGGAAGTGGAGGTGGTGGAGGAATAGCTGAGCCATCTCCAGGTGGAGGAAGAGGAGGAGGGGGAGGAATTGCAGCAATACTGTCTGTGGGTAGGGGAGGTGGATGAGGTGGTGCAGGAGGCACTGTTCCCTCAGCAAAGGCAGGTGGGGGAGGAGGGAGGTGAGCAAATATGTCCTGATCCACTGGAGCATCTGTCTCTGCAGGAGGAGGGAAGTCAGGAAGAGGGATGCACTTCTCCTCAGCATTAAAGCCCTCATCCACCTCCTCTTCTCTGGAGGCACCACTGGTGGCACGTGCCGCTTTCTTTGCCTTCACCTGTGCAGCAGGTTTAACTCCGACTGCTCCCAGTGATGGATCCACGCCTCCAAAGTTCAGTAGGTCAATGAGCTCTGTGGCCTTGCGGGATGCCTCCTTCTTCATCCGTTTGAGCTCAGCGTCCCGGCGAAGCTGCAACTCCTGTTTGGAGGACTCACACAGCTGGGACACCTCATCCTCTCTCTTCTTCTGCAAGCGCTCGATCTCTCGCTCCAACTGTAGGATCTCCTCCATCTGCCTGGCCTCATCCTGGAGGAAAGGAGAGAGGGAGAAGTATTAATCTTAAAAAATGTCATTTTAAAAACCTCTGTTTTAAACCAGAGAAAGGAGAATGAGCTATAATATCCTAGTAAGACTTGAAAAAAATCAGTTTTTGTATTCAAGAAAAACCAAACTGAAAAAGCAGCACTAACCTGCGATGATTTTGCTTTTTTTTCTGCTCCTTCATTCATTTCCACCTGTACCCTTTCACCCAGCATTTTCTTCTCTTCCTCCTCTTTCTTCCTCTGTTCTTCCTCCCACTTCTTCTTCTCCTCTTTGAGTTTTCGAACACAAGCGCGCGCCACCTGACCTCGTCTGTGTTTCTGCAGTACCAGCGCTGCCATGCGTTGCTTCATAAACCATCTGCGCTGGATGAGCGTTCGGAAGTGCTTCTGCAGGGTAATAACACTTGCTCGTACTCGCTTGAAGTGCTTCCTGTGAACAAAACAGGAACGTGAAACAGGAGTAATAAATACTAGCGCATACACTCACTCACTCAGTGTTACTGAGCTACACCTTTTTACCTAAAGGCCTAAAATTTCATTTCCTATTCAAAGGGTCTTACTTGGCAGAGAAAGTGAGTAGGTGCGCTCGGATTATCATGGCAGCTTGGCGTCGGACTTCATCCCTGTCTTTCTCTAAACGGTGCTCCAGAGACTCTTTCATAAACACCTACAGAGCAAAGGTTAAGAGTTAACATGAAGAGGTCAGATATAATATATCGATAACTACTGAGTTAGTTTGGATGATGTTAATTATGAGTTGTTGCTGCTGTTTAAAATTTCTATGCTGACTGTCATTAATGATTTTTGGAATCTGGAAGGGGTGTTGTCAGAAGCTCTGAAATGTTACCTTGGTCTTGCCTAACTGCCAGTCTGTCTTGGTCTTGTCATATTTAATTAGAAGGTCTGTAGTCCTTTTTTTATCATCTCCAGCTGCTGGTACTTTGTCTTTCAAAATGATCTTATATCTGGCAGCAGAAAAGACAGGAGAGCAACTTAAACAGAGGAGGAATGCCACGCACTTCCTCAAAAGCAAATAAATTCAAAGACACAAACAGAGAAAAAGATATTACATTAGGTTTATAGTTATTTACCGAGAAAAGAAGTCTTTGAAAGTTCGGCGTACGGGAAACCCAGCACGCCGGATCTTCACAGTCTCCAACATCCCAGAATACCTCAGCTGGTTCAGGACGACCTCCGGGTCAAAGATATTTGGATTCTATGAACAAAATAAAAAACATTTGTCAAAAGCAGTTTGTCCTTCTCTGAGACTAAACTGATATGAACAGAAACAGACAAACCTTCTCCATGTTGGGCTTAATGCAGCGAATGAAGAAAGGGTTAGATACACTCAGAGTGGCCATGAGAGCATGAAGGGAGTCCTGAGGAGACAGAGAAAGAAAATAAAACTTTCATATTGCAGTGAAGAGTATTATTAAAGTTACTGTGCTCACAGTAACTTTAATAAGACACTGTTAGTCTGTTAACATGTTTATGTTTAACTCTTATGTCTTAGAGCTGATTTAGTCGAGTGACAAAAAATTAACAATTTCAATAACAGATTGTTAATGTTAAATTAATTTTAAAATGTTGGTAATTCATTAAGAAAAACTGCAAAATGCAATTTTTAGCTTCTTAACAAGTCAGGATTTGCTACTTTGCTTTGCTTTATATTACTGTAAAGTGAATATCCTTTTGTTTTGGACTGTTCACTGATCAAAGACATGAAGAAGTCATTTTGGACAAGGAAAACATATTTCCAGACAACAGTTAACTGATTAAACACAAAAATAATTATAAATATACAAAATAAATGTATGAAATACAGCTTTGTTGCACTCCGGTGTCCTACTTTTTATATAGGCCTACTTAACTATCCTCTAAGCCCCCTTGGCTCTCACCTCTAAACCCTTTGCTAAGAGTAACATCTTATATTAATTATCTAATCATTTCAAGTTGCTTCTTTCCTTTTTCCAATATCAGTGTATGTAAAACGCACTCAGGAGGTGTTCCGTGCATGTCCCACCGGGAGGAGGCCCGGGGAGGACCCAGGACACGCTGGAGGGACTATGTCTCTCGGTTGGCCTGGGAACGCCTCGGTATCCCCCCGGAGGAGCTGGGGGAAGTGTCTGGAGAGAGGGAAGTCTCGTCATGTCTGCTTAGACTGCTGGCCCCGCGACCCGGTTCCGGATAAGCGGAGGAAGATGGATGGATGGATGTAAAACGCATGCATCACTCACCCTGAACTGGGAGCTCACGGTAGGTTTGCGCCTGGCCGTTCCCATCTTCTCCTCATTGTTCCTACTGCCAACTTTCTCAAACAAGTCATAGATGAAGTCCAGTCTGAGAAGCAAAACAAACATAAAGGAATACACACCTACTGTACATAAAGGTGGTGTTTCTGTACATGGGTACATATATAAATGAGGGTCAACTTAAAAAAAAACAAAAAAAAAACAAGTGGCTGTGTGAATAAATTTAGCAACATTTTCAGCAAAGCACTGATCATTTCCAATCTTCATGTTGATCTTGGGTTACACTGTTGATCTCCAATTTATTTTACACTTTCCCAAAATCTGTGCTTTGGTCAGATTATGTCAAAATCACATTTAAATAAAGCTAAAAGCTGATCTTCTTTTGTTCGAGAAAGGGTGGCAAGATTAAAATTCCTCTTGAATGAACATTATAACTGATTGTAATCCCAGGATTAACTGCAATCTCAATTAGTGACACCTTTTGAATGTCTGACCTGCTGTCCTTCAGCATGTTCAGAATATCGTCTCTGAAAGTGTCTCTGTTCTTCTCCAGGATCCCTCTGACGTCATACAGGACCTGACAGAGACAGACAGACTTATCATTAACTCCCCACACTCCATACAACAATTTACATACTGGCATATATATTTTGTTAACAAGACGAAGCTCATTTATACATAACTCACCTCCCCTGCATAATGTTTGATACCAAACTGATGATCTGCAAGTCTGGGCTTGACATAGTATGGATTTGTCTGCAGCACAAACGGTAAAAGAGCACACAGATTTCAATATAATGTGATGTTTAATAACAGCGCAGCAGCTCTACATTTTGTGAGCTATGCATGAAGTGCATGAACAAATGTGTAAATAACTCACAGAGTGCCTGCTGTGCAACTTCTCCAGCAGAGTGTAGTCTGTTCCTTTGGGGAATCGACTCTCTTCATTCACTAGTGCCAACAAGCCCAGTTTCTAAGAGAGAGAGAGAAAAACACCATGTTATTGCATTAGCACCAATATTATTAGATCAGTTTCCAAAAAGCATCACAGGCAAACATCCAATATAACTCTTAACTGACAAGGGAACAGCTTTCATTTTGACCTACTTCCAACAAAATCTGATTGAGAAATGTTTGTTCAGTTTGGTGGTGCAGAATCATTATGTTCTGGAGCTTAAAAAGTCCTGGGCCAACATTTCAACTTCCTGGTCAAATGCAGATGAGATACTAAATATGAAATTTGGAAACTTTGCTCCACTAACCCAGCTTTATTAAAAACTGCTTAATTTGCAAGCTAAACACACACCAAACTCTTACCTTTTCTATAAGATCAAGACACTCTGCATTATCCATCCAGTCTATGGCCTCCCACTGAACACCCTCCCTGTGGAGGGAAACCATTATGCATGAAAACCTGGTGTGTAATAGACTGTAATAGAATTTCATTATATACAGATTATTGTTTGGACCTAATGTTGTTAATTTTTATTACATTATTTTTTTCCCTTAAATTTTTATGTTCTATATTTTTAATTAGTACATTAAAAGTAATTCACAAATGCACTAACAAGTAATACGCAGGTCTTTCTTCATACTGGCTTGTACAGATACCTGTTGTACTCTAGCTGCTCCAGGGAGAAGATATGTTTGTTGAAGTACTCCTGGAGTTTCTCATTGGCATAGTTAATATTAAATTGCTCAAATCGATTCACCTGGAAGCAGAAGGACACATATACAGAGGTCTGCATGTATGTCTGTGCTGATGAGTGAAACTCATATATATGTAGCAAAAAATACAGAAGATCTGGCAAAGCCTCAAATAAAAGCTCTGACCTCGAAGTTCTCAAAGCCAAAGATGTCCAGGATGCCAATGGATTTGAAATTTTCCTTCCCTTTGATTTTCTGATTGATTTTGAGGATGATCCAAGAGAAACACTGGGAATATAAAGCCATGGCAATTGAGTCACGGGAATCCACAGCCTGTTAACCATGAGAAGGAAAGACAAGGGATGGTTAGGATGGGCGAATGAGTGGGAAACAGGCAGAAATCGAGCCATACAAGGAGAATAAATGCGTGTATACCTGCTCTATGGTGAGTGGGGAGCAGATTTCCTCTCCTCTGAGTATTATGGAGCGCTGAGTCAGGACTTCAGACAGCTGGAAGGCGTCCAGGCCAAGCAGCTCACTGGCATCACTGACCACTGGAAACAAGACCAAAGGTGTGTTATACCTCTCCGGAATATCTATCCCACTCTCAACATTCTCACTCACCTTACATCAGGCATTCACCGACCTTGCTTAGTGGTGATCTGGGCTCCTCCTGCTAGCATGAACTCAATGTTGCCAAGCTGTAAGACTCCTGAGAGCAGTTTAAACATGTCTCGGATCTCCTCCTCTGTGAACTGCAACACCTTCAGTGCCTCCTACACAGAGAAAAGCACAAGAAAATAGGTTAGGAACTGCCAGTAGAATGGGATGCTTGTATCATAAACACTTTTTCTGTACTGTGCTTATGAGGTTCAGTCTTTACCTTAATGTTTTAGTGACAGAGAGGATCAGTGTCACAGATGATTGATAAATGACATTTCAGCTTTACAAACATTTCATAATTTACTGTAAACCTCAAAGGGCAAAGCCAATTATTCCCAAATGTTTACTACAAGAACTCCAAAGAAGACACAAATCTACTCTTGTTGTATTGCATGTTAAAAATCACTTTTGACCCTTCAGCAGTCAGCAGCTAACTAATAAATGAATTTCCACACAAAGAGAAACCGAATGACCAATATAGCTTAAAGAAATATTCATAATTAATGATCAATAATTGATTTCAGTTTGTAAAACTCCACCGAACAGACAGAGTAATGTAGTCAGACTGACCATAACACTGTTAAACAGCTCTTTGTCGTTTAGACTCTTGTCCTTCAGACATCCAGCTTGGCTGAGGTAGTGGAAAGATTCAGCAGAGTCCTCCAGGAAGTAGAGGCCTAAGAGAGGAAACGTTATAGTGGATTAACACAAAAATACTTTAGCTGATCCCAACGTGATCTGTGTTGATCAGAGTTCAAGTGTTTTTATCTTCAATATGCCAATTTGTCAGACACAGCTAACCAATGTAAATCATAGCCAAAGTCGCATAAATTTCAGTGGGGAAAAAACAAGCACTTTTTAAAGGACATCACTGATATTAGATAGTTCAAAGAACAGCTCTTACTTTTATGCTCTTTGCTAGCTCCTGCCAACAGAGCATAGAAGATGTGGTAGTTTCGTTCTCCGGGGTTTTGTCGTACCACTCGGTTCTACAGCAAAATGAATGCCACAAAGCCTCAATGAACATATCATTATGATTCACTATGCAAGACAGAAAAGTTAGAACCAATTAATTTTGACGTGATGTGAGCTGCAGCCCCAGATAGTGGTTACCTTTTCCAGTAAATCTGAACAGTAGAGAGTCAAGGAATCTTAAGTCACCTTTTAATTGATCTTCACATATCAGAATCAGAATCAGAATCAGCTTTATTGGCCAGGTGTGTTGGACACACCTTGTAACTGTATATAATGCAGCATGTGCATAGAAGAAAATATGAATATATCCCATGCAAATATACTTATTCTGTGAAACAAAAAGGATGCAGTCAATGACGCAGCCTCCCTGGATGTTGCCACTCTCAGAGAAGTGAAGCTGGATGAATTTCCCAAAGCGACTGGAGTTGTTGTTGTAAACAGTCTTTGCATTACCAAAAGCTTCCATGATTGGACTGTAAAGGGAATAACAACCTGCAGTCAGCAAATGTTTGTTTCTGTGTATCCAACAGCGAATGCAATATTAAATGGAGTATAACCACCAAGAGCTGCAGAGGCCCTTCCCTCCAAGAACATGACTCTCCAAAGGAAATGCTGTTCTACTGACCTGTGCATATAAAATGCGAGTTGAGTGAGGAAGCATGCTCTTTATTTCCAGCTCTCTGCTGAACAGTGGGAGCTCCCAACACTTTGACAAAGCAATTTGGCTTGAGAAAAACACTTTGCTAGTAATCACAGATGTAGACTTGGATCTGGGTCAGACTCAAATAACAAAGATCAAGACTTGATACTGGACTCTCAAAATACAAATCTAAACCTAATTTTTCAGGTTTTATATAACTTTAAATAATTTGAAATGGCTTTTAAATAACTTCTTTACCTGAGGCTTGACTTGGACCTCTACCAAAACTCTCTAAAACCAGCACTTTCAGTGTCAGCAAGGGAACAGGAGAATGTTTCTGCTTCATTTTATCCATCTTGTACCTGCTCTGTACAATGGCCTGCTCCACACGTGTGGTTTTCTCTGATGGGGGAGTCCCAGCTGAGTTCTGGCTCATCATCGACAGGAACTGCAGCAACAATTTAGTGCTCATGTGGAGATCCTGTCTACACCTCCTAAGGAAAAGGAGAAGAAGAAGAGGCCAATGTCACAGATCAGCGGAGTGAAAAAGGCCACACAGAACCCCAGCTTAGCACCCGCCTGCATCCCCCGCTTTGGAGTCAACACGCCACATGAAAGTATGCTGGCCAAGGTAGGTTCACACGCACTAACACGCAGACAGACACACACACACACACACACACACACACAAAACACAACCCAATTTAATTTAATTACATGGTGACCTTCTCTGACATTCCCATATCTCAAACTGGTCCAATTTAATTGATGCTGAGGTTTGATCAGAGATACTGCATTAGCTCCCAGTCCATCTCAATCAGGATACCAAGTGAGACAAAGGCTCAGAGTAATAAGTATGATGAGAAGTCTGATCCTACTACCAGATTACCCAAGCAGGCCATAAGCAGTTAACAGATTTCACCCAGAGTTTTAATTATTATTAATGGCAGGGTGCCGTTTATTATTATTCACTATGACTCAATCACGGCTTTACCCTCTAATTCTTCTTCAGCTGACAAAATTTAAAATTTAAAACTGGCTCTTTGAACTTGACCTCTGTTCAGTCGTTTACATCAGTAAATCACTGAAATCAATAATACTGTGGCCACAACCTTGAATTTTCATTATGTCTAACAGCTGTCATTCGCTGTGGCTTCAAGCACATATGGAAGAAAAAGACAGAACATAAAAATAAATTATGTTTGTGGTATGATTATATTAGTCAAACCATCAGCCGGTTTTTCATAAAAATTGCTGTGTGTGTTCTGTTGACATGTTGAGTTCATCTGGTTTCCCTTTTAAACTGCACTTGAATCCATAACAAGCTTATTAGTCTTTAGTTTCTGTGCTATATTTTTATATTCGCTTGTCTTGGATGTTGGAGGTGAATACAGGTAAACAAGAAGCCGACCTGAAATGTTCTGAAATCCTGTTGCTTTTTCTCATTTATAATACATATAGACCAGACATCAGTCTTTGTGTACATTTTATTTTGCTTGTTGTGAGAGAAGCAACAGCCTAAAGACTTCCAAAAAACCTACAGGCAAACCTGAGCCTTGAAGCTACAGCCACACCTGGATAGCTTAGCTTAGCACAAACACTGGAAACAGGGGGAAACAACTAGCCTGCCTTTGTCTAAATGTAACACGATTGCCTACCAGCACTTCTGATATGTGCTACAGTATATGCTATTTGTTTAATCTGCACAAAAACAGGTGTGAAGAAGAAACAACATTTTGTGCTAAACTATTTCTTGTTCAGGAAACCTTCCCTAAATGTCTAACTGTTCCTTGAAATATACAGTACATTGAGATTGCATGCAGATATATAAAATGTGAATGTGGCTCTGTGGGTATACAGGACAGTAAGAAAAGCAGGATACAAACACAGCTACAGTCTCCGTCGGTGCATGCTGGGATGTGCTGTAGTCCCCCAGGCGGCTGAACAGCAACAACTTATAGAAAATAGATTAACTAACTTTTAATTTAGTGGACAGGTATGAGGCCATGAGACATGAATTAGAGTTAAACCAGTTGGTAACCTGCACACTGACCCAGTGTGATGGTCTCCTCCACTGTGTAAACTCACCTGATTAGGACACACTGGCTATCATGGCGTTTCCAGATGCAGCGATAGCATTCGTTTGCCACGGCAAAGATGTGTGGTGGGAGCTCGCCAAGGTGATGCTTGGAGTAAAGGTCCACCCTCTGTGTGTCATACAGGCCTGGGATCTGCTTGTAGGGGTTGACGGCTGCCAGGATGCTGCCGATATTAGTCTGAAAACAGCAAAAAGTGACATTATTAATTCTGTCTCTGTGTCATGTTTGACCTTTTGGTGTGCTTTTATGTATCTAACAATCACTCTATCTATCTATGTATTGTTTCTTTAATTGTATCTTTAATTTCAGACTTTTATTAGAAAGCTGAGGTCAAATCGATGAGATGGTGGAGGAGGGAGGCCATTTTGACCTATTTGTGCGCTAACGTCACCTTGCTTTCTACCACTTTGCTCTAGAAACCAAACCAAGTATTTAGGTCGGCGTTTCCTCCTCCGTGTCATTTTACCCTGTGTGTGCATTTTGTGTACTACACACATACAGTAACAATAACAAAATGGAGATTATTTTCAGTCTTAGTTACTGAAAATGGGAAAAAAATGAAAACTATAAAGCTGGTTTAATTCACTGCAAGATGTTTCCTCTCTATGCACCTATTTCATTTAGATAGCTTTGGTAAGATGAATCATATTTTCCACTAAAAGCTTCATCCATGAAAGGGTTACAGGAAAAGAAGGGGGCGTGCACATCAAGTCAGTGTACACACATAATGACCATGTGCATGTAAACAAGAAACAGACAGTTTTGTCTGAATGTACATACATATATATTATCCATCTGGTAGCGCTGGTACAGGTTGTGCATGATCGCGGCCTCATGCAGCTCAGCCAGCGTTGACATGTCCTCCACCCCATCAATGCTGGACTGGTGCATAGCATATACCCGCTCCCTGGTAACCTCTGCCTGCTGCAAGTACAACACCTGGGAGACAACAAGACATACAGACAGTTGCTCGTTGCCTCGTTTTAATGTTCACTGACGTTCAGTGGTTTTTGGTCCATTACTCTTCAAATAAAGAACATAACTTGAGTTTCACTTGTCAAGCTGGTACTTACACCTACAGTGGATAATAAATGTGTCTTGTTCACAGTAAGGAAGAAACAAGTGCGTTCACAAGAGATTAAAAAAGACGCTAGCACTGCAATATCTTTCCATTTTTAGCATGAACTGGCTAATTGTGATGCAACATGACAACAATCTGCATGATGAGGCTGAATGATTTTATAGCTCTTCTTCTCCCCCAATCCCTATCTCATTTATGTCATCCATCACCATGGCAACTGGAGAGTGGGGACAAGATGGGTGGGGAACCCGACAGTGAGAAGGGAAGAAGAAGGAGAGGAAGAGGGAGGACACAAGTAGAAGAAGGGCGGGAATCGGGAATAGCTGGTCTGATATGGCAGGGCTTGCCAAGCAAAAGCAGCTCAATGTTGTATTCGGGTCAGTCTGCTACAGTGATCCTCATCCACACACACACACACAGACCAGGATAGAAGGTAACTATGACTTTACTTCAGGGGAAAGGTCATGCATTCATTCCAGCAAATCAACTTGTCTAAGAATAAAAAACAAGGACTTTACAACAGTGGGTTGTTAATATGTCAGCTCAGTCTCCAGCGTGTGCGTGTTGCTGTAACAGATGTGCTGGAAGTCTGCAGAAATTGGTAGAGGGGCACGCTGTGAACGCTCAAACATCCATTTCTTAAATAAACCTATGATAACCATTTATTTTACAGGTCTACATCTAGCACATACTCTGCTGGTAACTGCTGATCAAGTCTCTAACCGTTCCTCGCTCACTGTGTCGTCACTGTTATTGCCTATATTAAACTATCTCTTAAATCTTATCATAACTCTAACAACCAAAATATGTGTTCCTGTATTTATTTATTTAAAAAAGAAAGAAACAAATATGAGTTGATAATTGTTGGATCTGTTCTGTTATTCTCAAATAACTATTAGCATTGACCTACACTACATGAGCCCTAAACAGTCCTATGAGCCTTTCCTTTCCTGTTGGTTCTTTCAGCAATTTTAATAAAAATCTCATATTATAAATGAAAGGCATCACTTGTTTTGAAGATCCCGTAGATATTTATCACCAACTCCGCAGGTCCCCTCAGCTCTAGGGAGAGTTTTAGTACATTGGACCTCAATGTTTTGGTTTTACAGCCTACAACTTTAGTGTTTTTGTTCCCCCTCATCACTCTTATAGCACAAAAGCACTGATAACTCCCACTGTACAATATCTTCTCAACACCAAACAGCAGAGAGACAACCATAGCACCTAGCTGATGAACATCTAAAGGGCCAGATATTTCCCTCAGGAGTTACCAAGAGTGAATATTGGGCTTTAATTTGCCTGGCAACCATGAAACACGACTCCAGATAAACAGTGGTGTTGATTTGAATCTTGTGAATAAGCAAATGCTTGCTAACAAGGTCGCCACAGTTTTAGGTTTACAGCTTGTTTACACTGACATCTGTTAATTCAGGTTTAATTGATGCTACTTGCAGCTACTCTCAACCTTCGATGCTGTGTCAATGTCTCAGACAGCTGTTACATGTGTGTATGGGTGTTTACATGTGTATATTCTTATGTACTTTTAAGTGCCTGTTTGCCTGAGTAATGAGATGCATTAGCATGCCTGTTAGTCATGGCTTGCAGCTGTACATATGCAGACGTGCCTTCAAACTGACAGACGATACGCTCCATACACACACTTTGAGACAGAAAGTCTTTCAAATTATATTAGCAACCCCACACACACACACACACAACCGCCCCATCTCTTTACTTTCTCACCCTATTAAATCTCTCTCTCCCACTCTCAAGTTCTCTCTGACTTTCCTCTTTCTGGATTCTATGCTTTCATGTTTCAAGCATCACTTGTCTTTTTCTCACTCTCTCATCTCTCTCACTTTGTGTGTCACTTCTGTTTTATCCCTTCTGCTTCTGTGTCACTTTCCTCTTTTCTCTCGTTCTCTTCCTACCTCACATCATCTCGCTTGTCATTAATTCACCCCTCTCGCCTGCATTTTCCACATTCCATCCTCCTCCAACTTCTTTTTGTCCGTTTTCTTCAGTTACTTTTAGCCTTTATTTGCTGGTGCATAAAAATTCCATTCTGTATTTGCGACATATCCCCTCATCTTGCTTTTGTTTTTCCTGCAAGTCTCTCTACCTGGCCATCTAATGCATATGTGCTCAGTGACAGACCCACTTAATGCCTAACTGGTTCAATCCAAAAGCCCTGCCTGTAATTGAAGGCTTACTGAGAGCTATTTCAGTCAGAAAGCACATCTTTGCAATGTAGGGTAAATTACAGTGGAACAGAAGATAGGACTTCACACACAGTCATCAGGTCACATAAGAACATGTGTGAGAGAAAAGGCACTAAGACTAAAATGGAGGCCTCAGTTTTGGCTGTGAAAACTCATCTCCACTCCTAAAGCTTGATGGAGAACCAGTATTTACATAGTACGTATGTTGGATGTTTGTTGTTGTTGTTGTTGTTGCAAAACAGCTCAAATCCTGGTTGTATTTGTCATCTGCATTTATGAGTTAATGCATTAACATGCTAATATTTGCTGTTTAGCTCTACACATGGATAAACTGATAGGAATGTCACTTGCAGACATTTGGTCATACACAATTAAAAATTTGAACTGACAGTCACATTAGATGAAAAGTCAGGAGTCACTAAAGTTATTCCACCCTCATGGTGGAGCCACAGTAGAGGAAAAGTCATAGGATCATTAGGATGTATTGATTGACACAGAACCAAAAGCATGGCTGTAATTATGCTACAAACCTGTGGTGTATATCCTAAAAAGTGCCGTTTCTTTTACCACAAAGCTTTATGAGTTGGACTGAGAAAGAAGAAGTTAACAACAAGCTTTAACTCTTTAACCAACCTGCACCCATTCAGCATTGAGGTGAGTAACACATTTCAAATGTCATCATTCTTTACTGTAGGATGTGGCAACCCACACTCATCTCACCCACAATATCACTGCCTTGTTTCTTCACTATAAGGAACAGTGCAAGGCAGATGGGGAGGGTGACACACAGACAGAAAGCAAGAGACAGACAGGGAGAAGTTTCTGTGTGTGCTTGCATAGAGTACATACAGCATCTCTATTTTTGTATGGCAGTCTGACAGAGTTAAGTTAATCTCATTATGCTAAACGAGTGAGTAACTACGAGGTCCTCAGAGGGTTAGAAATATGAAACTGAGAAGAGGAATGTGGGTCAGGAGATCACACAGCGACATCAGCTTATTTCTGTGCCAAATCAGACCAGACAAGTCATTTCTGCAAATGACAGTGTGTCAGTTTTTCTCTGGATGTGTATGTATGTATGTATGAAGGCTCATAGTTTTGCAGCCATAGCATTTGTAACTCGAAATCGTAATGTGCTGAACTGGGTCAGGGTCTGTTGATTACAGAACCAGAGTGACAGAGGCAAGGAGGAGAAAATGACAATGAAAGAGAGAAAGCTTAAACAAAGAACAAGAAACAGCAAGATGCTTTTCACTTTAGCCTGTTTTCAGTCCTACAGCCCCCGATGGCAGGAATAGTTGTGTCATTTATTAGCTGTTTTTGTCAGGATTCACTGGGCTCTGCATTCAGTGGAAACCAAATGTATGCATGGCTAACATTAAGAGAACACAGGGAGGTTGGGGCTCCTGGTTTTCATGGCTTAAATCCTGTTGTAACAGGGCAAAGCCCTCCATCCTACTGATTCTCTATCAAATATTCAGCACCTCTTGCAAAGCTAACATTTAAACACCCACAGATAGCAAAGAGAAGGAGCGCAGAGGAGGAGCTAGATGGGGGTTGGAAATGTTCAGGACATTCATATTCCAGCACTAAAAAAATGCCTGCTCCTATAACAAATCATCTATTTTAGGAAAAGCCTGTCTGTCCCTGCTGTCTCCCTGTCCAAGAACACCAAAGCAGCTACATATAAAGATAATGCTTTTAGAGCAGCAGTTGACCATCACATTCTATGGCTACACCCTGTGAAAGATGTGTATGTCCTTTGGGGGTAAAATAGTGTAAATTTGGACTTTTGAATTTGAGCCAGAGCTAAGTCTATTATTATCCAACTAGCACACACACAAACACATCAAATCCAAAGAGAAACATCTGCATGTCCTTACCCTAATGCAGATTAGTTGAACCCATGCACACACAAACACTCATAATGAGATTTAAATGTTCAATTCCATTATTTTGGCAGGGGGTGTGGTGTTGAAGGGTCGCGGGTAGGGCAGCTGCATGGCTGTGCCATTTAGAGCAACTACAGTGATGCTGCTTTGCCACCTGACATCCTGAAACAAGACTGGATTTGTGTCAGAGATTAATTTAGCATATGTATGAGGAGGAAGTGGAGGAGCAGAAGGAAGGATCTGGGGCAGGAAAGTGGAGCATCAGGACCAGGAGTATACATTTCTTACCTCTCCATAGTCGATTGTGACCACAAGAGTTCCATCTCCGCAGGAGTTGACAGTGGCAGGAAGAAGCTGCTCCTTCTCTCGGACCCAAACACGGGCCCCCTGCATTACACAAACACACACACGATATCTGAGGTTAAGTGTGACCTGTACACAAAGGGTTATTTGGTTACATCAAGCAATGAACCCTAGACAGCTGTGGACAGCAAGCAAAAACAATTCAGATCTCTCTTGGATGACTGATACATACGTTAATACACATGATCAACGTCTCTATCAACTTGGTGAAAAGAATAACATGAACAAACAAAGTGAGCATTATAATTCTTAGGGTGTTTTGCATTAATGTCTCATCGATGAAATACTGTAAAAGGAGTTCTTAGTCTCTGAATCAAATATAAAATTGCATGTTACATGTAATGCTGAATCACCCTGATCTTTGCATAAACAAGTCTCTACATCTACAGAATGACTCTAACAGCAGAACATTTCAAGGGCCTCCTTCACTGCGCTCTCTTCTCTGTTGTTCGCACCATAGCAGCTCTATATATAACCACCTTTCTCTGAAGTCAGCCAGCCTGTCTCGCCCCTAACTTCAGCTCGTCTGCCTGTCAGATTCCAGCACACAGAGCCATTACAATGACCGTGATGCAGTGACTTGACCCGATGACCTCCCTGGCCTTAGGCTCTATGAGCACAGTTCACCAGTACTTCACTACATCCTGCTTTAACTGATAAAACCACCTTTGACCCCAATTAAACCTCTAAAACAGACATAAACACCTGGCATTTATAGTCTTCTTTCTCCACCCACTTTCTCTTTATGTTCACCATTAACCAGAATAAAATGCATGTTTTAGCTCAGTCTTGTCGCAGTCTCTGTCTCCCCTTTAGGTAAATTGAGATCAATGTACTTTGTTTGAGCCATGTGCTATCTCTGGGGCAAATACAGCGAAGGGCAGACAGAGGGTTATAAATGACCTGCCAGCATCACAACTTACACCCAGCAAAACCGTCCTACTCCTCTTCTTTGTGTCCTCCTTCCCTCCCCCCATCTATTACTGGTCCAGACAGACAGGAATGACCATGCATGATGATGAACTCCCAGTCTTTCTCTGCATTCAAACCTAAACTGCCTTCTTTTAGTACTGTCTCTAAACCAAACCACAGTCAAAGTCAAAGCTTCCAGCTTTGTCCATCTTCATTACACCACAAACACCCTCAGTTGTCACTTTACCCTCTAACATGACCCCTGACCTCACATCTCAGACCCTGCTCTGCAGACAATAGGAGCTAAAAGAAGAACAAAACATCCTGCTCAGGAAATGCTATTTACTCAATTTCTTTGTGCAAAGTAAGAGTAATTGAATGGTGCTAGTAAAGCTGTCTAGCTGTAAATATGCCATTTCAGGTAAGCTATACATTAGATAATTAATAGATTTTTCAACCCTTTCCAGACATGAATCTTTTTTTACAGCCCACTGGATGAAGGCATCACTTGTTCAACCTGGCAGCTATTCTGACAATATGAATCCATTTGAAGCAAGGAACATGCTATACTGCTATAAAACCATGCCTCAAACAAACTTAATCTATATGTGGAATACTTGGTTGATATGATGCTATATTTCTGGTTCTGGTTTGTAGGATTTCTGCACATTTGTTTGTGCAATGCCTGTTGGCCTCCAATGCTTGGTTGTTAGAATACAGTATTGTTGATAGTCCCAACAAAGACACATTTCAGAACAGAGTCAGTTTGAGGCACCCAACAAGAGCATCACTTTTACATAGAAATAAAGGCAAAGACATATTCTGTGTGAAGGATTGTCTAAAGCAATTGATTGTCATATTCTGTAAGCATTAACGGAGACCAACTGCCCTCCAGAGGGTAGAGAACTAGACATTAACAGTAATGTAAACGATTTATTATTTGTAACTGATCTGTTAAAACATGCAAGGCTTCCACTGTAGTCATTTATATAAAGTATAATCCATAGAAAGAAATGATGTGGTTGAATAATCTATCTATGCATGCCTCAACATGGTTCTTAATAAATGTGGTTGGTGGGTTGATTATAATAAGAAAGGAAATGGAAGAACTCAGAGAGAAAGTCCTGACCATCTAATAATCTTTTATAACTGAAGATAAAAAGAGAGCATCCTCAGGCCACAGAGCATTTGGCACAGACATCTGGACACCTGTACGTGTGTTTCTGCTCAGGCAGTCACATGGAATGGCCTGTGCCATTTGATTGAGGCATTGCTCAGGAGATAGTCTCTGATCAAGGACCACTCTCTCTGAGAGACGCTCACACCCCAACAGAAACTGATGAATCCCAGACACAAACTGGCTGCAGGCATACACAAATGTTACAAAGTTCAAACTGTCATACAATCAGTCTGAATACTGCCAAAATGAGGTGACCTATTCACTGACAGAACAGTAGAGAGGAGACGAAAAGACAGAAAACAGTGATGATGGCAGAAAATACACACAAAGTAGAAAACGTGTACCAAAGGTTAAAGGTGGAGGAGGTTGAGGAGGATGCAGATGGACAGAAACAAGACACAGGCACAGATGAATTAATGATGACCAGTCATCAGCTAATGGAAGATGACTAATGACCAGCACAGTGGTGGGAGGACACAGAAGGGTCTCTAGAGACTGAAGGTCAGGGGAGTGTTTACAAATGACTGTGTGTGTGTGTGTGTGTGTGTGTGTGTGTGTGTGTGTGTGTGTGAAGTTCAACTCATTAACTACAGCTTCTTCTACCACAGTGTTAAACTAGATACACATTCAAAACCCACTGAACACAACCAGTAAATAATCATTCAACTTGATCATCTTTCAGTGTTATTTCTCACACACTCTCTGCTTGGACACTTTCTGACATCTCAAGGCCCAGTACAGGGAGAGATCATGTGCTTCACCACATTTATTTGTAAAACCCCCAGTTCGCCACCCTCATAGCTTCTCCTCTCTCTCGATGGATGTCAGACAGGAGGGTGGATGTGGGTGTCGCTGTAAGAGCATTTGTCAGTTAATCAGGCGAGAGTTATGGACCAATCTTGTCTTTGTCCATCATTAACAAAGGGATAGCTTGTTACTGATGTTACATGGTGTCTTCATGTAAAGTCATGTTTATCAGTCCAGTCGAACAACTCACTGATGTGGTGCTCACAAGTCTGTGAATGGAAACTACAAACAAGGAAGTATAGTGAAAGGTGATTTATGAAATACAGAAAGACACAGAAAAAGTACATGTGTGGACAAATAACGGACTCTGGGGATTGCTGACACAGGTAAGTAACCAACTAACATCAGAAACACAGCTGTGCATAGTATGACCTAAAATGTCCAAATGAAGGCAAATCCAGCATTACCAGCAGGGAACAAGTTGGGACAGAGTCCATGGAAAAATCCTAGTTGACTGATTGTTTACATGGAAAACTATAAGAGAAAGTGGATGGGACAGGTAAATCTAGCAGGATGTTCACCAAAACAAAAGCTTGTGACAGGAAGTGTTGTGGATCATGGCAGCTTTAGACTGATAACCTTTTAATATGTCCTGAATTCAAACAAACAAACATGGCAATGATTTATCCAAAGTAAATCAGATCAGACTTTACCGCTAAAATACAAGCAGGGATAAAAGCAGCTGTTAATATGTTATTTTGTGTGTGTGTGTGTGTGTGTGTGTGTGTGTGTGTGTGTGTGTGTGTGTGTGTGTGTGTGTGTGCTGTACACTGTAAATCCTTTTTAAGAGGCCAGTTTTGAGCAGTCTGCTAATTATCACATTCTCTCACATCTTGGATTAAACTAGTCACACACCCCCACCCCCACCAACACCAGGCAACAAGACTCTACAGCGACAGTGTGGGAACGGGGCGCCATGGAAACAGACTCTCTCCTCTAAGCACTGGTGGGTGCTGGGAGATGGTGTTCAAGTGGAAAGGACTGTGAAATAAATGTTTACATGTATTTATTTAGTTGATTTTACTTTTTTTCTTGTCCAAATTGAGGGTTTAAGAACTGAGGGTGTTGAATAGTGTAAAAATCGTAAAGTCCTTTGAGTCAAAGTTGTGATCTGTAATTAAGGCAAATTTGTGATTTGTGACACTGAGCTACAGTATATATATATATTTTTTTGACTTTTTTCAGACATTTTACATAACAAACAATTAGTTGACTGAGAAAATCTGCAGACTGATAGCAAAAATAATCACTAATTGCAGCCCTAATCATTAATTCCAATACATCCAGTCCACAAATTCTAAATAATCATGCTGTAGCTCAGACGTGAGCCGATGTAAGAAATTAAATACCATGCAATGTACAAATAAACTCTCACTGTTACATTTCTTTTCATGAATCTAACTATAATAAATGATTATGATATAAATTGTAGGTCATATCACCCAGTTCTGTAGAGGCTACAGTCCCTTCAAGAGAAGAGTAGGATTTTGAAAGATGTTTCATTCACATTTCCACCCAAAATAGTTCATGTGATTTGACAGAGGCAGAACTCAGTCACACCTACACATGTAGAACAAGCAGGAGAGTGCTACAGGAGAACAGGAGGAGACGCGAAGAAGAGGAAAGACAGTGCTGGAAAAATGCCAGAGGGAGGAGAGAGATTGGCAGAGCAGCACTGAAAGCGGTAGGCTGAGTGAGATGGAGAAGCACCAAGCGAGTGGCCGCAGGGAGAGAGTGAGCATCAGAGGGAAGGGAAAAGAGGAAAGGGAGAGAAGCAAAAGCTGATGCAGCTCCAGAGCAGAACAAATCTGTTTGGATCTACTGAATATAGGTCACACATCTCCAGTGACTGTTCCCTTCCCTCTATTAAACCAGTTTCCTTCAACATGCACTTCATATAAAATCCTCCATAACCTATAAACACAGGCTCTGCTAAATTTGTCCCTAAGCTTTTTTACCTCAAAATGCACTGCACATAAGGCAGGACCTAATTTTGTGCTGCAATTACAAGACACCTAATATTGTTCAGGGTGCAAATAATCACAAATATGGAAGCTGCTTTGTTAGTTGTGGTAGTGTGAGCATGAATGTTTCACAACTTATTTGCAAAAAACCATACAGAGTGCAACCAGATGATTCATGTTTGACTGTACAACACGTTCTTAGCATGAAAATCAACTTCAATATGAGAAAGCTTTCGCTGTTCTATAACTACTCTCAATATGAAATGTAGCAGCCACTCAACAAATTGCAGAGTAAATAATAATTCAAAGCCTGAGGAAAGTGAGGAGTGGTAACTGGGCACAGACGGGACAAAAAGTGGAGCTGATGTGATACAGCAACAATGACAGCACTGTATCCACAAAGCTTTTTTCCCACATTTCACACCTGTCTGTCTCCTGGTTCATGGTGGCTATGCACCTGCAATCCAGTCCAAACATATCACACACCGCACAAACAGAAAATGTCACCCCTGAGACCAAATATCTTCCATCTCCCATAAATGCGCACAAGTCCATACAAGGTATTTCAATACAGGAAGACCGTGTACATTTAAACCCCTATGGTATGAGGGGAAAAGAAAAAAAAAGAAATATCCATATTCTTTCTAATATTTGTCTTATTAATATATAAATTACAAAACCTTCTGCGATTTGTTTTGATAAATAATGTTACCATAATCTGATGTTTCCCACTTATGCCAATGTGTAAATAAAATAAACTTATATGTGCTTTTTACAAAGGATTTACAGTTGCATTTACAGAGTAGCCTTTAATCTGTTCCTTAACTTTAATGATGCACACTGGTTTAGATCAATAGTTTGACATTAGCCAGCAGATTCTAGGAACTCGGGGAAGACTTCACAAACAAACTTAGTGTACGACCCAACCAGGTGTACCTAACTGAGTGTAAGTTTTTATATCTGTGTTTTTTTTTTTAAATAGTAGGCTAGTTACCTGTTTTAGGTACCAATCACCTTTAATCGAAGAGATTACACAAATTTAGTATTGTAGCCTGCTTACATACGGTACATGAAGATTATTTCTTTGCCATGAAAAACAGCACAAGAAAATGTGACAACAGCAATATTAAGGAAATTTATCCCAGGATCACATTCAAACATACTGTATTTTTTTCTGTGATAGCTTTAATGACACTATAGTATCTCCAGTAGTAGGTCTATCCTCTATCTTTTCACATGTGTTGTTTGTCAGCTACCATAACCTGATTTTTGTTTATATATTTAGCACATAATGTCACCACAACTACCATATCCCACTACTACCCAATCCGGTTTGAATATGAGGGGATTATACAGTAGTCTAATGCCACCTGACATTTCATGCTTGGCTGGTCAGCCAGCCATCATGTTTTCCGCCTGAGTTGAGAGGAAGGCAAAGAGAGAGATCAGCTGTTCATTCTTTCTGGTTTAAGTGGTAAGCATGTAAAATGCAGGAATAAAAAGTCAGAGGGATGGGCTGCAGAAGAATACAACTAAATAGATGTTGCACAGGCACCTCTGAAGAGGATTGATTACTCATTGACCCACTGCATGAAGTCATGTTTCTGGGTATCAGATATGCAGGACTCTAGGTCTAAATATCATGACTCAATAATTCACTCCATTTTCAGGTCTCAAATAGGCTGTCAGAGCCTGTGCTCTGTGGGGCTGCAGGGCTTATGTGGTGGTCTGTGAATCTATGCTATGATCAATATATTATAGGCAGGCTGGTGGGAAATGGAGCAGGAGGGATAGTTGTTACACTTAACTGGTTTTGGTATGATCATATAAAGGGCTATAGGGTTATTTCACCCAGCCATTTACCCTTTTAATTGTTAATATAAGATATTAATTGTGCTCAATGCTGTATTCCCCAGCAACAGCTAGAAAAAGATTGGACTTGCATGGACCATGCTCACCATGGTCCTGGTATTCACACATCCACTCACTCACACACACACACACACACACACACACACACCAATAAATGGCATGACATCACTGCCAATGTGAGAGGCATTTAAACCCCTATCAGATTGACTTATGAGGGAGAGGGATAAGTAGCTTGGAGAGGATGGATAATGGCATCAAAAAGAGCAGACTAGACAGTGTTCCATGACATTGTGTGGGGGTGTGTGTATGTGGCCCTGAATGTGGTGTGTGGAGAAAAACACACAATGAATTGAAGAGGGGGTTGAGAGATGGAAGAGAAAGCCTAACAGGCCTATGATGGGTTTTCTTCAGCAGGCAGTGGAAGAGAGAGCAGTAGGCTGAATTAATAATTACTGGCTTATCTAATGTTCAAATATGATGCCAGTTGTAAACCACTTATCTTCCTACTGTTTCACCTATTTCATCCACACACACGTACACAAATATCTGTCATCCTCCTCCTCCTTCCACTTTCCAGATAGCCACCCTCCCCCTCCTCCTTCGCCCCCTCTTGCATTCCCGCAGCTGTAGCACACCGGCCCATACGCACTAATGGATCCTTGTTCCATCCCATTCACCAAAAACCTCAATAAAAAGCATCTTAACTGTAACATGGTGTTGGGAGGACTGTTGCTGAAGGCCAGCATGGTCTACCCTCCGTTAACAGATTGCCTTTAATCCGAGGGCCATCCTTATGGATGCAGAAGCCTGTGTCAGCTCTCGTTTAACCAATTTATCTGCGGCTCTGCTCTGAATTAATTCACCAAGCCGGCAGCGGGCTCTGATGCTCTGCGGTGATAATGAAATAACAGGGGTGTTCCGTTTATTTCATATCAATATGTGGATAAACACGCAATAAAACAGGCCTTTTCTTTTTCTAGGAAACAGTCGGGAATGGTAGACGACGCAAATCAGCACCTGTCGTAGCCAAACCCAAGGTGCATCAAAACAGAAAATAGCGTAAAATAATCTTGCACCATGGGCCATGCGCTGATGTAATCTGTAATCTGTCGTTAATGTTTAGTTCGAAAACACTGACACATATTCTCTGTGGCTTACCTCTGCAAAAAACGCCTCCATCCTCCCTACTCCTCCCAGACGAAGCGCGCCCGGCCCGGCAGAGCGCAGACACCGGCTCCGGTTTCAGGCGCGCAGATCTTGCTAACGGAGGGGTGAACGTTTTTGTCAAAACAGGGGTAAGGCAGTGGTGCCTCTGTGTTGCTGTTTCCCATTCACCAAGCGTTTAGCTTCGTCTCCAAAACGATTCAGTTGTTCAAACACACCTCGGTAGCATCCAGGCTCTATGCGCAAAAAGCCACACGAGAAAAATCCGAGGCTGTGATGAAGATTTTAAAATGTCCACGCCGGGGATCCGTTGGAGGAGCGCCTCGGTTTTCCAGGTCTCGTTCCAGTGTTCAGTGCGTGTGCATGTGCGGATATATGACTGTAGACGAATGTGTCTGTGTCTGTGTGTGTGGCGGGGGGGTTTAAGGAAGGCTACACTGTTCCTTTATTTTGTGTTTTCATTGTGTATTAACATAGTATTTATGAAGGTTAGACACGTCAACGTTGTCACCGTAATATACTGTACTGTCGTAGTCCGCCGGTTCGGTTGAGCGGAGCTGGTCCGACCCTGTCCTGTACTGTGACAGCTAACTAGCCAGCTGTGCGCCGGCACCTAGCCAAGCAAGGAGGAGAACACCGGTCCTGTCTTTTCTCGGGTTTTATTAAACGGATTAAAGAAAGCCATTGAAAATGCTGCATAACATGTCACCATGTACTCACAGAAGATGAACACCACAACTCCCTCGGAACTCTACCATGTCCCGCGCCAACAGAACACGCAGTCACGCCCACCTACCCTTTTTATACCCTCCCGCACCTGTTCCTCCCCAAACCCCACATTGGACAGAACAGCGCATACACACCACCTGGCCCCCCCCCCCCCCCCCAGAACGCGCAGCAAAGAAACATGCAAACTCCGCACACAAATGTCGCGAACCCGAAACCTTCTCACTCTGAGACAACTGCGCTATGGAGCGCGCCCCCGGCGGATAGCTCTGCCCACCGCGCCCCCCTAATACCAGAATCCAAATGTTCAATACAAAAGGTACCGTACCCCACAGGGCAAACACTCCACAAAATGCATCCAAAACCTGATGCACTAATAACCTTAAGAATATGAAAATCGTAAACAACATTACATCTTATCCGAGGAAGGACAAATTATGTCCCCGCTGTTTGGGGTCTATCACAGTGAGTTGTCATCTGTGCAAAAAAATCTTAAACTGTAAATGTCGGTCCCATTCTGTTTCCTGTTACCTCTTATTCAAACAGGGATTTCTACTGGTAATTACTTTCAATTTGTGTTTTCACTGTTTGTTAAAAATTATTTTTGATCTGAAACCTTGACAAATGCTGCTTTACAGTTAAGGTCTCGCCTAAAAGAAATCTTAATTTCACTTGACAATGTATGAAACAGTACCCAGAAATTTGAGGCACCATCTTTAGGGAGCTTTGCCAAATGGTGAACCGTACATTTGTGCTAGTTCGGACTCAGATAAATGCAGGACTCGGATTCAAGCTTGACAAGGTAAATGTATTGTAATACACAGCCGGACTTTTCAGCCGATCTCAGGGCAGCTGCGAACACTGCGTTGACTGGACTGCTAGCGATGTAACCTGGGGGCTGTGACAAAGGCTGACAGCAGAGATCCAGAGCCAGAGCTAGTGCAATAAAAGCAGGTCTTCTAGCATTGAGGACACAGTTCACAGTCAGGCACCAAACTGTGCTGAGAAAAAACCAAAATGGTCAAGGCCAACCCGGTCCGGGGAAACACAGTTCAATAAGGCGACCTTTCCCAACAAAACAAGAAGGGCAAGCATCCAAAGAGGCTGCTGTAAAAGTAATCACAAAAGGAGGGCATACAAGGTCAGGCTCAATAACAGAAAAGCGGTTCGTGTCTGTGCAGATTCTCCAGGTCATCCAGGTCATAGTAAGTGGACTAGATTTCTAGGTCGAAGACCTTTCACCTCTCATCCAAGAGGCTTCATCCGTTCTGACTGCCTTTCAGCTAAGCATGAGTCTAAGTCATACTGATCACCAGCTGAGTGTGATTGTATGACAATAAGGGCGAAGGATAGGATCGTGTGTGTGGGGCTTCTAATACTTATGTCTCTGTGAGGACCATGTTGAGTTTTAGACCTTGAGAGTGAAAATGATTTTGAAATGTGTGGACATTTGGCCATTACTCACTGCTTTAAAAGGCTGTTTCAAGGTCAGGACTCAGTTTTAGGGTTAAGGTTAGAGTTAGGCTTAGATAAAGGATAAAATAAGGGGTTATATAGTCACTGAGGTCAGTTATGACAAAACTGTTACCATTCTCAAAATAAAAAATACACTAAACAAAATAAAACAAACAAGACAGGCTGTGCAACGTTGTTCATAGTTGTTCATGTTCATCAGCATCTTTATGATAGGGGAAACGCAGGCCTGTTGTTTTCCCTTTACCAGCAGCAGTTTAACAGAAGCAAAAGAATTCGTTCCTCTTTGGCAGCAATTTTTGTTTCTGCTGGATAAATCACGTGACCTGATTGAGTGAGAGGTGTATCGCATCTGCCAAGATGCAGGACTGCCACTGCTTGTGTACATTAATACATTTACAGCTGCATTTATGTAGTTTGTGTATAGTCTGAAGCAGCTCTTAGGCATCAGGACAATTTCAGTCAAACTTCCCCAGTTTTTGAAAGAACTTGTGCTGCTGATGTGATGTGCATGGTTTTTATGAGAAACCCTCTGAGACTGTGTCCACCACTAGTTTGTTCTTCTGGGGTACTAACAAAGTATTCAGCTAAAGTTCATGCATTGTATGACATTGTTTTTTAATATTTACTTTTTTAATATGTTCATAATCATAGGTGGAAGTGTGCAGTGATCCCAGAAGAGAGACAGACATGTGGGCTGGTTTGGCTATAAGGACTAGGGTAGAACAAAAAGGCCAACACTAGGCAGGGGCGGTGAAGAAGGACTGACAGTTTCCTGAAGAAGAAGCAAGCTGAAAGTTAAATACAGGGTGGGCCTCTCTGGCTAGTACTTTTACTTTTTATCAAGCATAGGATGCAACACAACCAACAGCTAAGGAGGGAGGTCTGTGAGCAGCACTGAGAAGACTCTCCTGCCAAGACTTGACTACAGAGATTGGTGCAAGCACCAACACAGTGCACTTTGGTGTGACCTAGGTCTACTAGTCTTTGTGAGGGATGAGGGAAAGCCAGTGATGATCACCTGTGTCATCCAATTTGAGAAAGACCTTGATCAGTGTGAAGTCAGATGAAGTTCTTTTTATAGGTGAAAGGAGGCAGTATTACTCTCGGGAGAAACTCTCCGGCTCTTGCGGAGTTATAGTTACATTGACCCTAACTCTAACCCAGAGAGGAATATTAAAAAGTTGTGTCAGGACACAGAATATTAAAGAGATGATGGTCCATTGAAAGTTAGAGAAACCTTGGATAGAAGCAGCAGGGTGCAGCCCAGCAGAGAGATGATAGGGGGCGAACTTTTACAGTACATAACCAGACTGACTGCGCTCAAGTCCCTGTGATGTTTATAATGTCACCTGTTATTATCCTACATCAATGCATAATTTGAAGCTTTTAAAAGCTCCAGCTATGAGAAAAAACAAAACACCAATTCAAGTGAAGAACATTTCATGTATTTATTGTTTTATCAACTTGTGCACATTAAATATATTAAGATGACACATAAAACAAACATTCTTTCTATACATACAATAGTTTGACAGCAGAATACTGGGTCAGGTGGCACCATCTCTCTTCTGTGGCGGATGCTGCCATTCTCAGTTGCTTGATGTAAAATCAAAGTGACAAAGGGTGCATGATGCCTAGCTAAGTGTGCTGTCTGAGAAGAAGTGATGCAAGCAATGAATTTATAGGAACTGCAAACAAAGCTTGTGCAAATCCATTCTAGTATGTAAGATAATAACCAGGGGAGAAGAAGCTGCAAACACAGAAAGGAAAGAGGTTTGGTTGAGCTGTTTTATATCACGGGATGCATAATTATTAAATGTTGACTAGATGTTGAATAATAAAACTCATTATATATACAAATTTCAGAAATGCATATTTAATCCTAAAAATTCACACAGTGGGCACGACAAATGGCTATGCCTCCCGGCTGGGATGCAGGATGAGCTTGACGACGCTCACCCTCCAATACAAAACACCAATTCAGCTCACACACAAATACAGGGCAGGTGTGTGCGTTGTTGTTGTTAACCCTGGACCAATATCAGGGTTTTTTTCTTTTAGTAACAAAAAAGATCCAGTTCTTTTGTTATCAGGTAGCCTGTAGTTCATCTCTGCCTTGGTTGGTGACAAAACAGATAAAAGACTTTCTGTCACTCTTGTTATTTGTTAATTCTAAAATGAACCAGATTGCCTGGTTGCAGCACCAGTAGGCCTATGTCAGCTTTCAAGCAGCAATGGTCCCCTGACAAAAATGGTTAACAGAAGATGTGAAAATAAGGAAACTATCCCTCTCCACTTGACAAGGTGATGACTAACTGAGCTGCTCTTCTTTTCTATCTCTTATCTTATGCTTGAATCAAAAACTCCAAGCTGATGTTTTTCACATTTATGGGATCACTTTCTAAAAGATTGAAACCGGTGGATTCATTAATGCCTTGTGTGTCATTCATGGCATCTAATCAGAGCTCAGATCCTTAAGAAAATGGCCGTAGATAATCTGGATCAAATTTAATTTATCAAACTGCAGACTATGATTATTGTAGGGGCCTTCAATTAAGGACATATTCTATACTCTTTATCGATAATGTATTAACATGGAAGTGCAGTTTATTTTTGACTGTTAATGTTACACTATAAATGACTAAAACAGTGTAATTAATCAACTCATTAACCATTAATATCTTATAGCTGATCTGTAATGCATCAGTGATTAACTTATCAACCAATAATATAGTCATTAGTGATGACTTTGAAACCCTTCACAAAAGGTGACATCCTAAAGTGTGACCACATACTTTTGCATGTGTAGAAATTATGGATGAAGGGTTAAATAATGAGTTGAGGCAGGCTTGAAGGGATATGAATATGTATAAATGCAGAAGAAGAAATTGCCCTTACACTCAGTGCAATGATGTCTAAACTAGCCATGAGGCAGGAGCTGTCAGTAGTATTCACTCTTATGCTTCTCCAAAATCAGATGCACAAAGAGAAATGCAAGAAGAGGGGGAGTTAATATTTCTGTCTGATCTTTCCTAAAAAGCCTCCACATTGCATAGTAGGAGGAGGAGGTTTGGATACAGGGTTAGTCAGAGCCCCTGTAGGGCGAACAATTACATCTCACAACACACACACACACACACACACACACATATATACACTGGACCAGAACAAAACAGCAGGAGAAAAAAAAAACACTTAAATCAACAAGGATAACACACAAAGGCACCAGTTTGTATGAATGAGATAGAAATGGATAGCCAGCTGGTTTATGTGATGTGGACATGTGTGGTTTTATTCTCCTCTTCAGAGGACCAGGCTGCAGGGGGCAGCTGCAGCTTTCAGCAGCCCAACAGGCTGAGGCCTCTCTGGGGTAAAGCTTGTTCCCAGTGGAGCCCTGGAGGGACAGAGGGGGGCCTCCTGTATGTATGCAGCATTATTAATTATTATTTAGCTGTGCCCTCCATCTTCATCAGGGAGACAGTTCAAAGCGTATCTTTCGGTTTTAGAGAGTTGCTCCACCAAAACAAGATGTTTGAAGATGTGTCCTTCTCATATTAGCTGACCAAAAGAGATTTTGTATTAAAGAAGTCATCTTTGTAGCCCGCATGTTAGCACTGACATAAAGACGTGCTTTGAATGTTGTTTCCACCAACCTCTCCCCAGCTGCTAGTCCAGGGTCTACAAAGCAAATGAACATATTTTTGATCCAGATCTGCAAAGAAGACAATAGACCAAAAACAGCAGTTTCAAATTTGCACACAAAAAATTCCTGGAGTGAAAAGGGGCATTGCTGCTGTTTGTAATTGCTGAAAGCCATCAACTCAACAGATATTTAACATGCATGTGTATACAGGAACACTGAAATCCACAGACAGTTAAATGTCTGGGCTATTAAATTCTCATTACCTTGGCAACAACGGGACTGAGTGACCCTCAGGGGGAAATTGTGGGATATATTTTTGTTCCCGGCCTGTCAGGAGCAGAACTTTGCTTAGTCATCTGTCCATAGCTCCCTGTCTCTCTGTCTCTATCTCCTTGATGAACCCTTCACTGTATATATATATATTTGTGTGTGTGTGTGTGTGTCAGAGAGAAGTGTGTGCTGTGGATAGATCATCAGTAGGTCTTCTGGCTCTGTAGGTGAAAAAGCAGAGATGACTGAAGAACTCAGCGCTGAGGCCACCTCTACATCAAGCTGAATTGTGTGGGAACATACTAACAAACAAGACTAACATGTTAACCAGATTATCCTTTTACCTAACTGATGTGTGAGCATGTGTGCACACATCGTGTAGCATGCTTTAAAAGGTGTCACTCACAGTGTCACAGCCAATCAGTTTTTATGACCTCAGCATCCATAAATCTTTATTTAATACCCTCGGTTGTTCCTCTTCTGTGACCCTCCGCTCTGATTATGGCCGTCTGAGAGGACACACCAAATCATTGTGCTCCGACTGATCATCAACCATACTTTGTACTGGTTAACTGGTAAAATGGGACGATCTAAAATGGTTCATAGAGTTGACAACACCTTTTCAGACGTAAACCTAAATTACTGTATATTCAATAAACTTAAGTTATGATCATACAGCAATGGAGCAATAACATCTGCCAAAATCAGCCAGAGGACTACAGATGTTCCTAAGGTGAAGGGTGACTCATCACTTTAAAGGAATACTTCAGCAATTTTGCTACGACTACCTGTCTTTGTGCTAGGCTAACTGGCTGCATCTTGTGTGCTTCCTAAAATGTTTTACTTTTTCTTTAAAGAGAGCTCCTTTTAAAATTTTACATACATTTTTGCATCTTTGAAAAAAAGATGATTCAGTCTAACTAAATACTGTAAAATTCTAATATTTAGTGGCACAGATCAGGTTCCACATTCCTGTACATTCCCTTATATTGTGACTTGAGCCTCTAGCGTAAATAAAAATAAAATAAAAACCCCCAACACAAAGCAATAACAAGTTTGGTTCGTTTTATTGAGACATGCATGATGGTGAGGGTAAAACGTATTAGATCCTTAGTCCCTTTAAAGTTTCTCCTTATGGTTCATACAGAGGGTTTCTATGTCCACACTTTGGCAAGGTTTCTGGGGAAGGCATGGAACGTACTCTCAAACATAAAGACTCTCACTGTGAAGGTAGTGAAGAGAGGTAAAGAAGCTGTACAATAGATGAACCAAAGAGTAACCCTATAGCTCTTCTGATTCACAGTGAAGCGCTGGCTCATTATGAAAGAGCCAGTTTTGTTTATTTTACAAGAAACCTCAAACTTAAGCCAATAAAAGCATGTATAACATTTTATGTTAATGTGTCCGACCACGTACGCACAAGAATGCCTACTTTGCTCTTTCTAAAATAACAATGTCTCTCCTGTTCAGAATACAGCACAGTACTGACCTCAAGTGTAACCCTGACTGATGGCTTTCATTATCTCGAGATTTTTATAGACAAAGTACTGTGACTTTATTAATAATGGGTAGGTTCAATTGTGAAAAAGGGCTCAAATAAAAAATGCCAGGATCATCTAGTTATTATTAAGTCCAATTAGGCACCAGTAGCAGACTGTGTAATCCTCTAATTAATACTGGCACTGTTTACATGGTTTCAAAGATACAGAGGCAAGTTAACATTTCACCCCACTGATCATTAATAAAACACAAATTAAGAGTTTGTTAGGATCTGAGAGTTTGACAGTTAATCAGGAGTCATATTGAAGGGAAGTCAATCAATGAGTGCAAAACCAAATGACTTAGACAGTGTCTTACAGATAAACTAGAAAGAAATTAAACAAAAAGTCCCATATCTTTCATGAAAAGACACGATAATGCCAGTACCATTAAAAAGGAATATACAGTTTGTTCTGTTGCAGTTTCTTGAATAAACAATTTCCAATAAAATCCAATAGTATACATTTTTCACTTCAGTTACACCTTTTCTTCCATGATACCATGAAAGCTTGAATATAATGTTTTCATGGGTAGATTAGTTGATGCCATTTCAGATTTGTTCACCATCTTACACATGGGAATGTATGCCGTGCCTGGTCCAGACCCGGGGGTCCTCTGTCCAACGAGACCGCGTTCAGAGAAGTATGAACACCAGCAGAGACAGCGGTAGCTCTCAGGGTCTTGACTAAACTGTATTCTCAGTTCTCCCTCTGATGATTGTGTGGTATCATTATTTCTTTTTGGGTGCATTGGGTGTGTTGAATTTGAAAAAGATAATGTCCCCGTCCTCCACAATGTAGTTCCTGCCCTGTTGCCTGTATTTCCCAGCAGCCTGAGAAAGAGGGAATGAAATCAGAGAGGACCATTAGAAGTTGTATTCGGTGAGGTTCTCAGAGAGTATCAGTACTTACAGTGTGGCTGTTCAAGCTTATAATTAGGCTCTATACAAACACACACACCTTGACTGCACCTTCATTGCCCTCCTTTTGGAAGTCACTGAACTTCATCACCTCAGCCATGATGAAGCCTTTCTCAAAGTCTGTGTGGATCTTTCCTGCAGCCTGAGGAGCCTTGGTACCTTTCTGTCAGAGCAAACAATCACCACATTGAAGTATTTTATCATATACTATAAACATGATTAATATCATAACTTATCACATTACAATGAGCTGCCTATGATGACAGTGCACCTCAAAAAAACAAACAAAACAAACAAACATGAAAATGGCAAAATAATTCAGAATTCAATAAGAAACTACAATGAAAGGAGCTCTGTATTGTGGCCCCTAAAGGCTAATATAACAAACTCCACAAAACACAATAAGGGCCCGCCCCAGACAGGTTGGTTACAGGTTTTTTCTACTTATTTCAACTCGTTAGCATAATCTCTGATACCGTTACCATGAAATTCAACATAATTTGACAGACCATTTGACTATCGAGTCTGAATTTTGTTAAATGTACACAAAATAAGCAAAGAAAACTTGTTTCATGGCCCAAAACCTTCTAAAAAGAACTACATTGTTCACTGCACGGGCATATGACCACTTTTTAATCACCAGATGGATGTTGTAAATGTCTTTCCTGAATGGGTTTAAACTGTGTTGATATTTTGCTGCTAAAACAGATTTGGGGAATGAACCAATCACAAGTAAGTTATGCATCAGGAGTCGATGTCAACCAATCAGGAACACAGATACAAAGTGGCTTTTGGTCTGGTGTTGAAAATTATCACCCACCATCTTTCAGGTATTATCATTCTCAGTTCCACTTGTGCGAACACACACAAAAAAGGGAAACTTTTTCCAATATTTCTAAGAACTATTAAAAAGTTCCTCTGGTTGGAAAGCACCTTATGGGTGCCCATAGGGGCAATCTGGAACATAAATAAAATTTGATTTGATTTGAACAATAACACTGACTAGAGAATTTAAAATTTCAGGTGTGCGCACTCTGACCTGCACCACTGCCTCTCCTCACACTACCCAGCTGTGTGCCATCGTCACTGAGCTGTCGGTCGGGCTTGCAGAACACAACAGCACAAAGTTTGTCCATACATGACAAAATGAGACCCAATGACAGCATGTTGAAATATCATGCAGAGAATTATATGGGATTTGCCTGAAGCTGCATTTGCTGCTTAAAGTGCCTTAGATTTTGTGTTAGAATGGCTGCTGTAACAGTCACCACTTGTAAACTTGTGGACAAACGAGGGGCGCGAAGTGCTAAAAAAAAAAAAAAGAAGTGATCTAAGCCTGCTCTGCACCATCACCCAGGAAAAGAGGGGAGCAGACAGTTCAACAGGACACGATTCATCCACATTGACAACACCTAAAGACAAACTAAACCGTGTGATGACTATGAACAGTTAAGAGATATAAGTGCTGCACAGGACCCCCTAGCCTGGTGGGGTCATCATGAGTCTGATCTTCCCATCCTGGCTCAGTTTGCACGACAATATATGTGCATTTCAGCATCAAGCTGTGCATCAGAACGTGTCTTCAGCACATCTGGAAATATCTGTAGTCCAAGGCGTTCTAGATTGAGTGAGGAACACCTAGACATTTTGGTTTTCTTGGCCAAGAATCTCAACAAGACAAAAAGCCTGAGTCAGACTCAGTAGATAGTCTACTCCAAAAGAATCAGCCACCCAATAGTAGGCAAGAGAGGGAGTAAGGAGAAGGGACATAATGTTGATAGGAAAATAAGAGATTTTGCTGCTACAGTTGCTAGCTTATTTTAATTTCAAATAATTTTATTTGTTCTAATTGTTCTAAGTTAGAACTTCTAACTTCATACTTTTTATTTACTCACACTGACTGTTCTAAATTATTTTTGAGTGCAATAAGAAAAGCCTAGTATTTTGAAATTTATTTTGATGTTATTCTAAGATTTTCTATTAAAATAAAGTCAGTAATGACATTTTTTGCGTTCTCTTTTTATCTGAAAAACTATCCAAAAGTATCGAAATACATTTTGGTACCGGTACCAAAATGTTGGTATTGTGACAACACTATAATGAACTTTAAAGAAGAGTCATTCTTATCACGACACTCACCCTGATGGTCCACGCTCGCACCTCGTCTGGTCCCGCTGTGAAGAAGTATTCCAGCTGTAGCGCTGAGTAGCCAGTCTTTATTATTTTGGTCAGAACACTAGAAACACACAAAGAAGCAAACACAGTTAACAGTTACAGAAAAGTTCAAGGAAAAAAGTGAAACAAAAATAAATAAATAATTGGAACAAATGCAATTCAGTTATTTCGACAACAACAGGTGTATTCAATCCTTATTTATATAATGGTACAGGCCTTTTTTAGTTTTTCGGTGCCACTTGTCTCAAAGGCCTTTAGCACTGCAGGCACTCTGACTTGCCACAGCAGAAAAGGCACGGTGCCATTTAGGCATGGCAGAACTCGTGCGTACTGGAACAAAGCCTTCATTAATGTTATTATATACAGCTGTGTCTTTTCTGCTATGACACATCAAAATAACTGCTGTGAAAAGTCTTACTAATTTAGTTGAATAAATGTTGGGTTACTTGATGTAATGCCTGGTTCTTTGATAACAGTGAGGTGTTTCACCATGGGGATCATCTCAGCTCGATCAGCTACAGAAGCTCCAATGACTGATGGCTCATGCACGTTATTAGGATTCATTTCTACAGCTGAATATAAGGATAAGGTCCATTCTATTGTCTGTCACATCAGTAGGCTGCTCAGTGGAGGTGCTCCAAACCAGTCAGCGGGCTATAAAACTGTGGCCCTTGTCAAACTCAGTCAGGTGTTTACACCTGCCCATTTCTCCTACATCCTACACCATTCACTGTCTATTATACCCACACCTTGACACGTGCTGCTGTTAAGAGAAAATTTTAAATTATTTGCTTTGTCTCACCTCTGTGTCTTCAGTTCCTCACAGTACTTGGTCCTCTCCTCCTCCTCCATGTCCAGCAGTTTAGACTCCAGAGCTCCACTCACAGGAATGACCATAGCACCGGGATCGTGAGCATCGACCCACTCCTTGATTTTGGCCAACCTACGACAGACGCAGGCAGCAGTGTGAGCTTTTCTGAATGCCAAGTAAGAGCTAATGTAAAGAGATGTATGGGGCATGTAGACGCACTGGGTTAAAAAAAAGTCAAAGTAAACATACCACTTGTTCTTTTTTCTGATGTAATCCTTCTCTGAGAGGTTCACCAGGTAGATCATGGGCTTGGATGTCAGGAACAGGTATTTGTTCAATACCTCAATCTGTGGAGAGAAATAATAATAATAATAATAATAAAAAAGCTGAAAACCCCAATTTAAATATTTGTTCAGGAAACTGGCAAATCAGGTAATGTATATTTTGACCCAGAGTCTCAAACCATGATGAACCTTAATTGTCTCTACTGATGCAGTAATGTCAAATCAAACTACTCTGTCCATTGGGAATACAAGCAACAACAGTTAAGGAATACAATGATGACAGTTACACCAATCCTGGGGGGTTTTATGTGCATTATAACTTGTTACACTTCAGTGAGGTGAAAAGGTGGCATAACAAGCAACAGATGATGCAATAAAGGCAAACAGAAGCTTCCATTTCAATTGGAAATCTAATAATTAACCCACATAGCCTCTTTCAACTGATCCATACATTAGACCGGCAATAGATTACTTTGGAAATCTATATTTCTACACATATTACAGACACACTAGCCTAACACACAAGAGAGATCAAGCCTACACACACACATACACACATAACATACCGTACCTCTTTGTCGTTCCAGTCGTTGTAAAATCTGATGTGTTTCTTCTCATCCAGCACCCAGTTCTTTATCTTCACCATGATATCCTGAAGCAAGAAGCAGCAGCTAAAGGCTGATTTTACACTCAATGGCCACTTTATTAGGTACACCTATACAACTGTATGCAATTCAATGTAACACTTCCACCGTACAAAGCTCAAAATGTTTAAGTTTCAGGTCATACTATGACCTCAATAATAAACCTATAACTGAATTTATACATTTATGACAATTTCACAAAAAACAAACATTTTGAGCTTCATAAAACACAGATGTTAAGGTGAAAGTGTTACACTGAATTGCATACAATGGTACAGGTGTACCTAATAAAGTGGCCGGTGAGTGTATATTGTCAGCTCAGATTTCCTCCACTGATGACACACATAAGAACCAGGCCGACAGATGCACAGAAAACAAATACACTTTACTTACATATTCAGGCTTGAGTTTTTTGTCACCTCCTCTGATTGCAGTTTTCTCCAGTTTGTCAATAATGGGAGCAATCATTTCTTCATCTTTTAGTCGCAGCTCCTCGTGGATGATCTCAATGTCCCTCACTGGGTCAACGTTACCCTCCACGTGGACAATATCTTCATCGTCAAATGCACCTAATAACACACAAGCACTGGCATTCTGTTACAAACACTAACATGTTTAAATCTAAAGGCAGATAATACAGCACTCCCATTAAAATGTTTTCCATTAAAAGGTCTGGTATTTATCAATACAGCTAAGTAAGAAGTATTGCACGTCTTTCCTAGAGCTAAAAGTTTATGGATGAGTAGGTGCAACCGTGTAAACCCAAAATTCTGGAAATGGTACCATATAAACTTCATAATGGTCTGAAAAAAATCTATTTAGCACCAGCCCCAGTCTCTGATTTTATATGCCAGACTTTTAAAAAGAGGAAAACGTATGGCTGGATATTGTTTGAAACTTTTAGATACCAGCAGCAATACAAGACAATTGTTTGCATAAATATCAAAACTTCTTTTTCTGTCGGTAAACATGTATTTTCACCAATCTTATTTTTAAAACTTAAAAGAAATTCCCAAATATCAAAAGGTTTCTAACAACCAACCATACATACTTGTTTAAATAAATGGAAAACTTTTATTCAAAAGGAAACTTTCTGATTTAAAAAAAAAAAAAAAAAAAAGTAAGAATCTGGCCAGACATTAAATGGCAGCTTGGCAATACTATTAAATACTACAAAACACTGCAGTCAGTACCATAAATACAGTAATAAAATACATATCCAGCCCTAGGACAGACTGCTACATATTCACAGGAGCTGGTCAAATTGACCTATCTAGGCCAAAGGCTTCCTAAAATAGGCCCTGTTCTCCTTTAAGAAGTGTAGTAATGGCTCTAATTTGCCCTCCTAACACCTGTCTACTCAGTTGTTGATTTGCAGCAGCTGCAGCAGTAATTACAACTCACGCGTCATGTGGAAGATGCCGTCACAGGCACTGATGTGGGAGAGGAAGGCATTTCCAAGTCCCTGTCCTGAGTGAGCTCCCTTCACCAGGCCAGCGATGTCCACAACATTTAGGAAAGCAGGGACCTTACTATAAAGCAGCCAGAGAAGCAGGACTATTAGTAAAATTGGGTGGAATCTGACTATGGCTACCCCAAAACTATGGAATGCTCTTCCTACCACTATGCAGTCCAACCCTTCTGTTGATATATATTCAAGTGTCAATGGCTATTGAGAAAAAGTGTTTTTTTCAGTTAACTGTGAATAGCCAAGTCAATGCGTGTATTTCTTCTGATGCTTTCACTGATCTGTGTCATCTTCATGGGCATTGTGTGTCCATGTACTTTTATGATATTGCAGGTAATAATAATGGTGGTGATAATAATTGTTATTTCCATTGCCTTGACTATATTAATAAAGTTTAGCCGAGTACAGTCACAACACACCTGGCTGGTTTGTGGTATTCACAGAGGAAATCATAGCGCTCATCAGGAACAGGTACCCTGCTCTCATTTGGATCAATTGTGCAGAATGGGAAGTTCTCAGCAGCAGCTTGGCTTTTGGTCAGAACATTGAAAAAGGTCGATTTCCTGCAGCGAGGGAAGGAAGTGCAACAATCAGGCTTGATAATGAACCCAACATTTGTTTATTCACTTGCAAACCAATAAAGCTTTGTAAAAAATATGTTAATTTATTGTATGTACATACCCAACATTAGGTAATCCCACAATTCCAATTTTCAGAGATGTTCCAAATCGACCAATTAATGGAGGCGGTTTCGGGGCTTCTCCTTTTTTGGGGGGCATCTGAGAGTTACACAGCAAGTTTGATACTGGGACAATTACATCGAGTGAATTCACTTCATCCAGACAACACCTGTCAGAGTTCGGACTGTCCATAACTCGTTATGTAGTTCCATCATATTGAGCTAGCTTCAATGAAAACGTGTATAGGCAGCTACAGTCATATGCTCAATCAAACACAGCATGCTAACGTTAGCTAGTGGCTAGCTGCAACCCCTATTTGCTACCTATTAGCCAGAATAATGGATTAATCAAACTCCTGACTGCATTTTCAACTCGTTAAAAGCAGGTCGAACGCTATTTAGCAGGGAGAACTCCCCATTTAGTACCTTTATGTCTGTAGTTAGCCTCTGGGGAAGGTGGTGTTCACTCCTCAAACGTATGCGCACACCGGCAGTCCCTGTGGAAAGACAAATCGGAAAGCATAGCGGAAGTGTTTTGACGTGGAAGGCTTTTGATTGGTCGTAGAAATACCTGAAATGATACGTCAGATGTGTACTGACACTGAATCGGTTTGCATTTTTATGTACTCAGTTATTTCTTTTGTTTCAATTTGTTGTTGTACTCGATGACATTCGTCAGTCAACCGACTTACCTGTATAATTGTTTACTTGCCGACTCTTACAGCGATGAGACGCTAGAGGTCGCTATTGCACAAGATGCGTTTAAGTACATGCTTGAATACCGTTTAATAGAGAACAAATGACATATTGATAAAAAAAAAGCCCCTGATTTTTTACTCAAAAATTAAACAGTTCACGGCTTAAATTCTCGGGCAGTTTAGGTTTTAATTCAATTGTGATCAAATATGTACTTAATGTTTCGCCTTTGAAGGGGAGAATGGTGAAATGTTTGGATATAGAAATGAACTCACTTTTGACCTCAGAAACAAGCTACTTGACAAAATGCTGTCATCACAAGGTCCATGTAGCAGCTGTTACAATTTCTTTGGTATGATCTTCCTCAGCAGATGGAGCGGACCAGTTTCCATGGAAATTTAATGTACAAGTGTCCATTTTATGAACACATTGACTTCCTGAAATGACAATCTCATTGCACAATTTCTATACTGGATGATTGTTTATTTTAATTAAATCAAACCTCAATCTGCAACAGACAAAGGCTTCTTTTGATCACTTTGATATCAAATGAGCATGTGTGAAGTCAGAATAATTTGTCAGAAAAAAAAAAAAAAATTCCAAAAGTGTGGGTTTTGATGGTACAATACATGTAGTATTCTTATAACAAATGGTTATTTATCCACAAAGCCAATGACAAAGTAATTTTTATTGCTCATATACAACAAAACAAGTACTTTCCAGCAGAAAAAGACATAAGAAACATGGTATTTGAGCAAACTAGGATCATGAAAGTTTAAGAAACCGGCTCCATACAAACAGCAAACTGGCTCCATACAAACAGCAAACTGGCTCCATATAAACAGCAAACTGACTCCATACAAACAGCAAACTAAGTTTCACAGAAAAATTACACTTGTATAAAAACAAGTCTGCCACACTAATCATAAACAAGCCTGTTTATTAGTGTTAACAGATTTTCAATAAAAAGTGAAGACTGATCTGTACTTGATGCAGATCTTGAGCATGGACTATTCCTACCTGAATCTAATCTTTTGCAAAATACTTTTTCATTATTTTTTCTACACACCACTAATGTTGTGGTACTCATAAAGACCGCATTTTTACAACTGTTTCATTTAATCTTCAATACGTAAACCCAGAATTCCTATCATATACAAAATATGGTAAAAAAGAATAAAACATCCAAACAATAACTCTGAATATAACACTCTTCTTGTTGCTCAGTAGTGACCTGTGGGGGAAAAAAGTACGGGAGAGACATTTATATCAAAGAATACAAATGTCCATTTTTTTGTAGATTAACTAAACTGTACATGCAAGGGTTATATAAATACCTGATTTTCATATAAACTACAAATAAGTCATTATACTAATCTGTGGTGCTTAATGATGAAAAATGGTTTTAACATACGTGGAGTGTAGGATCGGGATCGGGATCGAGAGCGGTACCCTCTGCTGTAGTAAGGAGATGGAGATCGGCGCCTGTAGGGTGGAGAGAGAGAAAAACAAAACTTCACCTGATGCCTTTAAATGTTACACAACTTCAATATGACTTCACATTTTATTTTGCAAACAACCAGCCAATCTAATTTCAGCCACATTTTACTCCCGATTCTAAATTCTAGTGAACAAGAAGTACTAACACTGCTCAGACTCCTCCATCCTTAAAATTATCCAACTGATGAAGTGAGCCAAGCAAGCCACAAAAAAACTCACCTGTATGACCTGTACTCTCGGTCTTCGTAGCGATCATACTCCCGATCATAACTTCTGTCATAACCTCTGTCGTAGCCTCTGTCATAGTCCTTTGACACACGCCGGGATGACCCACTGCCGCTGCCACCACTGCTGCTGCCGCTGCCACTGCCACTGCCGCCACTGTAGAAGGGGACACAGAATAAAGTATAGTGAGTCAGTTAGTGGCTTCAGAAAAATATCCCTTGTGAGACATCAAAAGCTGCAAGGTTAAGAAACACTCACTATGTGGGACGTCCCATGTAGATTCCAGGGGTGGGAGTATGGGCTCGTTTAGTTATGGAGAAATCCACTCGGATCCTGCGTCCATCAAGCTCCATACCATTAGCACGCTCCTTGGCCTGAAACACACACCAACAAAGTCAGAACCAGACATTCTAATTGCATAATAACACAGCTTTTATGTTTAACAATTGTCCAGATTTTAACACATTAGAAACTTCAAAACACCCTTTTAAACAAAGACGTTTAAGAAGTGAACTACTGACCACGAAATCAGCCCACGCTGAACCAATTTAAATGACTGTCACTGCTAGTTGAGACTCCAGTCTGAACTGTATTTACAGACACTTCAACAAACCCTATCACTGCATCATTACCAGACAAATTTAATTTCACCTTCACATCTTCATCTCTCTCTCACACACTTACAAAATCCACTGTCAATAAACATCCATCACACATCACCATGGTAAGGTTTCAAAATGGAAAAAAGTATTAAATGAACTAAAACCTGATTTGCTATGTACTAGAAGGTAAAAGGTTAACATTATATAATACAAAACCCTGTCTTGTCCTCCTTACCTCCTTGGAGTCCGCCGAGTTTTCAAAGTAGACAAAGGCAAAGCCTCGTGAGCGACGTGACTGCTGGTCATACACAACATTGACATCAGACAAAGGGCCATATTTAGAGAAAACCTCCCTCAGATCCCTCTCAGTCGTGTACAGACTCAGTCCAAACACACCAAGACAGGCACTGGGGTCTGGGTTGGCCTGTGGGAGTAAAGAGAGGATGAATGTAAAAATGACCCACCCCATCACTGCTTTCAAGTCCTCCTCTTCTGAGCATCAGACAGAAACACTTTTATTAAGTGGGAAAACAAACTGCTCATACATACACAGCCACTATAAATGCCAGGTGTTTGAAATTTGATGTACGAGTTACACCTTTCATAGGGTGACCGTGAATGGCTGCTGACATGCAAGTGAAATGAACTGTCATTGATTTGTCGGCTTGTATTTCAAACTAATGTGACTTACATTTTCAATCTTTTTGGTTTAAGACGTGAACAAAAATGTATTATTCATTATCTTATCAAACGATGAGGTCAACATGATTATTTTAAATTTAGAAACGGAACAGACACACTGGTGTGTCAGATTAATTCCTTTAGATCAAGTATTGAAGTTCATCCACTCAAACCTTAAAAAAGTAAATAAATAAAAATCATAACCTCTAGGCCCATGGAACCACAAATCAAGCATGTAAAAGCACCATTCAATATATACCCTGTTTCCAATGTGTCTGCGACGATTAGACATGGGGGAACGGCTATGGCTCCTACGACGACGGTACTCCCAGCTGCGAGATCTGCTCCTAGAACGGCGTCTGTGGGAGTGGGAACGAGAACGGGAGTAGCGCCTGCGTGAGCTTCGATGGGAACGGGACCTGGAGAAAGACATGATTTTAAATGAAAATACAATACTCTTGCATCATGCACACAAAACAGCTTAAAAAAAATGTAATACACATGTGACAACCAACTTTGAGACTAGGAACTTGTCTCACCTAGATTTCGATCTGGATCGAGATCGAGATCTAGACCTAGAATGCCGGGACCCATCTTTGGAGCGTGCTGGGGAGCGGCTGGTGGATTTCTCTGAGCCCTGAGGGGACGCACTCCTTGAGCCGTGCCGCGAGTCCTGAACAGATCAGACACTCAGGTCAGAAACACTCAAGTCAGATGTTTACAAAAAAAACAACAACAAACAAACAAAAAAAAACAACAACAAAAAGGATAACACGCCCCTTTCAGGAGTTTGCCACATTTTGGCATTTAACAGGTTTGCCACTAAATAACTAAGAATTTGATTATATACGGTCATACATTGCAACAAATATTTACAGTAGAAATTATGAAACTTAGCTGAAATTGAGACAGCACAAATAAAAAACAGATCTTAAAGATATGGAGGGATTGACCAGTGATGTTTCTGATACAGAGAGGAATTAAATTGTGCATGCTTAAAAGAAACAGGATGAAACAGAGTAATAACATAGCAGGCTGTGGAAATTACTCATACCCAGGTAAACTTCTGATCTTAACTTCACTTCTTTAACTTCATTACTTCAAAACAACCTTTGATTTCTTCTTTCTTCTGTTTGACATTATGACTTCTTTTTTCCTCCTCTTCCCCCATTTACCATCTGCCATTACAACACTAGTAGTGGGGAGAGATCTTGATTGCTTCTTTTCTGCATCCATTACAATAGCATGCATCAACACCATCAGCTTCAAACAATTCAAACAACTTCACATCTGAAACGTCTTCCGCCTTTTTCTTTCTTCCAACCTCAACCTTAACAAAGAACAAAAAAGGGTGATAAGGCATGTTGGTTTCTGTTAAAACCAAAAGGTACAAAGAACACAGCAGTAAAACCAGGACAACAGATAAGCTGAAAACATGTTTGTATGTACGGTAGTTTGTTATTGTCTTTATAGCTGCAACAAGAAATCCAGTTATCAGTTAGTTGTTTCAAAAAATAACCAGCAGCCACTGAATAATCTCTGAGACCTTTAGAAAATATAAATATTCACTGGTTTCAGACTTAAATGTTAAGTTTCTGGCAGTTTTGATAGGATTGTAACGATGAATGAGAACGAACTCAGCAACTTTGGGTTTCATAGTATTTTTCTAACGAAGCAATTATACTTATAACGTTTATTCCTGTTCTGGGAAACTACGGTGGATATTGTAAACAATCTGATATTTTAAAGATGAATCGTTAGTTGCAGCCCTAATTTCCTTCACTGGTCTTAAGTCACATTAATTGATACAAAGCTGAAAAAGTCAAACCAAAAGTTATACTGATTAGTATCAATGGTTAATATTTTATATTGGCTGGCATTGAATAGTCCACATTACATTAGGCAAACCCAACGTTAAGGAATAAATATGCAGTCAAGTGAAAGCAGCATGGCCAGGAGGCGGCGGCTACATCTCTCCACTGCTGTGCTTTGTAGGCCCCATGCTGCTTAGTTAGCTAACGTTACGTTTTTCACACCGTGTACCCTAAGAAACGTATAATTTAAGTTTACCCACACATAGCGCCAATATTACGAGTTAGACTTCTCTTAGATTAAAAGTTAGTTATCAAAATGTTTTCACTACCAGACCTGCCCCCACAGCTAACAGCTAGGATAGCTGGCTAACGTTAGCTTAGCTTAACTTATTTATTTATTTTTTTTAACCGTTATTTTCTTATAACCAAGACTCACCTCCTCCTTGAACGCTTTCTCGTTGTTGCTCATATTTATGTAACTAGATGCACCTGAAATGTTAAAAAAAAAAGTTTGTGGGAATCGGACTTTAACGAATGATTTCCCTTAATCGCCTGCCCAATATGCCGCAAAACCACCCGAACTGATGGATGTGTCGAACGGAACCTAAGCGCATAATGGTCTTCTTCTTCTTCTTGGAGTTTTATGGCGGTGGCATACAATAAAATGACGCATTACCGCCACCAACCGGAACTGTCCGGTTGCGGTGTTGTTTTCAGAATAAAAACGCCATCTCAAAAACTTTATTTCATAGGTAAATAGTGTGTACAAATAACGACATTTTAAGAGTAATGTTCATTAATGCTGCACACTGACAAACCCCCTCAGTTCATGGTAGATCTGTTGATCAGTACTCCTGTGTGGGTCCCTCAGATGGCTGCTTTGCTTGGTAATGCAGTTTTGCTGCTCCATATTTTAACACTGCTACAGCACTATATTTTAATAGAACACTAAGGAATATATATCAGTCCCTTCAAATCAAACCTACAATTTTTCCAAAAACACTGACATGGGGTTTTTGTCATGAGACAGATGTGTGGTGGGTTAGACCACTTAAATAATTGTATAAATGAACAGCCTCTAGCTGCAGAATAAAAACAACCATTATATGACAATTATTAATCTGATTAAATGAGGAAATACAACACAAAAGTTGTACTTTCTGGGTACATGACCATTCCTTACTGCAATCCTTGTCTGCAGACTACTGAGAGGAACTACATGTGTAAATGTGAAACTGTCAGGTAACACTAAGGAAAATTTGACAATTTATCATAATACAGATTTAAGGATCATACCAAACAACTTCAGACTCAAGTCATCTAATATATCAGACTACAATTTAGAAAATGAAATACTTTATTACAGAAGGAGGGAAAAAATCACATTTTTTAAGCCTGAACAAAAGCATATATGTGTACAGTGGTTTGAGATGAAGAATACCATACTGAAAATCAATGCAAAAGCCTTAAGTAGCCTCCTGCAGTATGCATATAAAAACAATGTACAAACCAAACAGTGCCTTATGCTACATATGGATAAAAAACTGTTAATACTGAATTTATGAAGGAAAACAAACTCAATGCCTACATACACTCTCTCATTCAGTCAGGTCATAAATAATAGCAAAATGAATAGATTACAAACATCCACTATGGATTTTGTGTGAAAAGGCCTGGAAAGGAGGCATTTTTACCTTCAACGGATAAATCTGTACACACACAGATTGAATTTCACAACTAAATTTACTTGAGCTCCCCCTGTCGATCATAACTGGGAGGACAGCAGTCAAAACGGACCAAAATATTAGTGACTCCAACAAAAATAATGACTTAAAGTTCAGCTCCTCAATACTGACTAGTTCTTTGTGCCTAAAGTAAAAAAAAAAAAAAAACATACTTATAAGTTGGGATCAGTGTCAGAGGGCAGAAGGCACTTCAGGCAGAACTTCAGACAGTAAAACTAACAATCCAGAGTCAATACAAAAGTAATTCATTCAGTAGTGGTACGGCTTGTATAAGACATACACTTATACATCCCAATAATGTCCCCAATTACAACTCAGAGATTACATAGCATTATTATATCCCTAACAGGAAAAGGGACACAAATATAGTGTTTGATTTCTCCAGACCAGAACAGCTAGACTTGGTTTGATTTTGCTCAGTCAAGTCCACTTCTTTGGCCCATTTATACTTCTTTTTTTCTTGGCAGTGTCATCACTGTACACAGATGTTGCTCCTAATGTCTCTATTGTTAGGTGGTTAATAGACAGGAGACTGTTTCTCTACTCTATAGCAGCTTCTGCGTGAGGATTTCCCACATCATTAATTTCCTGAAGAGGGGCATGTGGCACTGTGGAAAAAGAGGTAGATGTTATTTTCAGTGACAGAAAACAATGATACAAAATTATGACTGTATTAAATGAACAGTATATACCTGTTTGAAGGTGAGAGGCCTTCCTTTTGCGATATAGTCAGCATATTTACAAGCAAAAACACCACAGTCACTGCCATTTTTCTGCTGAGGAATCTCCTAGTGTACATACATAATATGAGCTCAGTGAAGCATAAAACATTTCCATGTTACATCTTTCACCTCAACTAGACTTACAGTTGCCCTCGTGCTTCCAACAGTCCATTTGGTGTAGTCAAGCTCTCTGCCTTTCTTTACTTTGTGCTCCTCTTTAATGTACAGTCTGGAAAAAATGCAAGGTAATATAAGCAAAAACACATTTAAGATGGTCAAATAAATGGAGGTTAAGATCATAATGAAGACTTACAGTAAAAGACTACAGATGTCATCATGCCTCTGACCCATCGAGTCATATGACCTCACTGTCTTTGAGTTAAAATCTATGACCTGGAATGAGAGTGATGAGACCAAGGAGGAGGACAAATATTACAAAATACTGGACAGCATATATGTGTATGCCAAGAATCATCAAGTCAGGAATATGACAGAGGAACAAATTAATCTACAGTCATTGTGGTTTTGACTCACAGCCAAGGCCCAGTGGACGCCCAGATGCAGAGGGACCAAGATGAGGTCATAGGCAAAGAGGTCAACAGCCTTGGTCCAGCGCTTCACAGCGGAATGTCCACTGGCCTGTCCGCCACCTCCACCTCGCAGCTTAGGGAAGAAGAAGGTGCTAAACGAGTAGACTTTTAATCCTGCTGCTTCACGAGAACTCCGCTCCATGACCAGGGACAGGTAGAAGTTCATCACCTTGTTAGAGGAAACACAAGAGGCACAATATGATACATACAAAACAAGACGCCACTTCGTTTCCTATTATGTTTCACTCCTGAGTTATCGTGTTCACAAGAATGTATCACCAGAATCTTTTACTATGGCTCTGGAACACAGAATCAGACATCTGTTAAATATTACCACATACTCAATCCTCTATTAACTTGTGTTGAACACCATATATTACTTTTTAGATAAGGTTCTAAGTCTGCTGCCTTAGACCTTCACTAACAAAACAGGGGGATTCTTTAATAATCTTAAAAAGGTCTAACAACTTGCTTCAAAAGAAGATGAGGCATTTACTTTTACTACATGCCACATTACGTGTGTGTGTATTTAGGTCTCCCAAGTTAACGGTATTTTAAAAAATTAATAACTAAAATAGAAAATAGGTTGCTGTCCCCAAATGTCACAAAATTGTCTTCATCTTACCTCATCATTGAGCCAGCTGCCTTCCTGCAGTGTGGCCAGGTCTCTCTGTGTTATGCGAAGTTTGAATGCTGCACTTAGAACAATGTTGGGATCATTATGAGCCAGAGCACTGCTCACCTCTGCTGCCATTTCCTACACACAGGCAATGAATACATCAAGAAATTGACTATAGCCATGCTTCTTCTAACACAGTAAGGCTAAATCTAACTCTCCTAAACATTTTGTCTCACCTTGGTCAGTCTGGGTATGTCCTCATCGCTGTGCCTTGTGTGTGCAGTGTGTGTTTCAGGCAGGCTGACGGCAGAAGTCTCTCTGTCCACTAGATTAAGGCGAGTAGCTACTTCTGTAGATAGGTCCCACTCTGCTGCCTGTTTCTGTTGATACAGACAGACATAAAACAGCTAAATAAGTTTATTTTCACCCATAATTAAAATTTAATGAGTGCTCTGACATATTGGAGCAAGGAAAATTGCTACCTTTGCACTTCTAACAGGTTGTGTGTCCTCAAAGCTGCCACCCAGTGACTTACTGAAAGTAAAGCCACCCCTCCTAGAGATAAAACATATAGAAGTTAGAAAAATAAAATTCATCAACATACACAACACAGATATACAGAGACATATTACACCAACCTGTCCTTGGCTGCAGATGTATTTCTCCATGTAAACAAGTTCGAGGCAGCTGTGCAACAAACACAAGTGTCAGTCCAGCAGGAAAGATTTGCTCTAAAAGTTTTACTGGTGAGCACATGCCTGTACTTTGAATGAACTGACTGTGCAATCTGAAAAAGACAGAATTCATTCGGGGAATGCCCTACATCAATTAAAAATCCCATGTAATTACAGCTGAAACAATCAGTCAAAATCAACAGAAAATGAATTGCCTTGTATCTGGATAATCAGATAATTGTTTTTTTTAGTTATTTTAAGCAAAAATGCCCCAAATCACCTGGTTCTAGCTCCTCATCCATGCTCATTTGCAACATTCACAAGTCTTCTGTGATAGTAAACTAATCATCTTTGAATTTTATGGATTGTTTGGACAAAACAAGCAATTTGTAGAAACTTAACTTAGGCTCTAGAAAATGACGACATTATACTTAAAATAACCAGCAGATTAAATGGTAATGAAAATAAATATTTGTTGCAGCCACAGTCCCAAATACAACTTACTGGGAACTGCATCCCGGAAATAAAAGCATCATTTAAAACTACCCACAATAAACAAATATATTTACACATTCTGCTTTTTTTTAAACTAGGTCTATAGATGTCTCTTACCTGTGCATCCTGCCTTCCTGGGCATTGATTCAAAGGTTTTTCCAGAAGCAGTTTTGTGACCACTCTGTAACAGTGACTCACTGGGAAAATGACAAAAAGATTTGAGGAGATTAATCAGCTCATGTCCTAGGGTATTCAGTCAACTGGATCCTGATGAAACTGCCAAAGAAACTTCACATGAATAACAGGTTATACTCACTCTTGGGGCTTTGTTTGGTTGAAAGGTAGTGGTTGACTTTTGCTGTATTTTTCTGTCACCATCTCCAGCAAGCGCCTGTAGTGCTCCTTATTAGTCTGCTTTATGGCCTAGAGGTAGGACCCAGCCACATGATAACTAACAGAGCCGGGAGGGGGTTAGAACTGAATCTTAATTAGACAGCTATCATGCGAGTTTAAAGTAGTTAACACTACTCCACAGACGTGCACTCAGAGAGGGCCAGTCTTGTCAGCTCTGTCTCAGATATACGTTAACATAATAAATCAAGCATATTTTGCATAAACTGCCACCTCAAGTGGCATTAAGGAGATTAAACATTTAAAGCAGCATAAAACGTGCAAATAATGCAGGACTATAACCATTTTTTATATAAATCCAACCAATAAGCCAAACAATTCATTATTATACCTCTTCTACAGTAAGACTGGGCTTGTAACAGCGGTTGTGTCCAAAGCCATTGCAGGTTGGGTCAGGGTTAGTAGCTCCGACTCTTAGAGCGGACCTCGAGGCCAGCAGCTGGAAAGAGCCTCTCCTCTCCCCGTCCTTCCCTCTGTCTGGGAGCCCTGCAGATAACGCTGTCCCACTGGATTCAATCAGGTTATGCACATTAGCAAGGGAGCATCTTCAAAACATGATACATTTTGGAAACATGAATGGATAAGCCAGCTCTACAACTATAATCACAGAAAACTACATGCATAAAAGCCTCAAATGGAGTGAGTTAATTATACATTAGCAGTGTATGGGAGGAATAAAACCAAGCTCAACAAAATATTGGACTACTTGCCTGTATTTCCTCATTAGAGGAGGTGAAAAGCTCTGAAAAGGATTCTTCCCACCCCTTTCATTCACTCCACCCACTGGTATATCTGTGGAGAAACAGCAAAATCAACCAAGATGATGGGGATTACATTGAGAAGACTGCAAAAGTCAAGACAAGGCAACTTTATTTATATAGCACATTTCATATACAGAGGCAACTGAAAATGCTTTATAGAGGCAAGGAAAATCAGTAACAATATTAAAAAACTAAGCATTAAAACCAGAATAAAAATCAAGAAAGAGTGAAGATAAATCATTATTAAAATGAGATAAAATACATAAAATGAAAAGAAGAACAAATAGGAAAAAAATCTAAGGGCTGAAACAGAATTCTAGTAGTTACAGTGCAGAAGGTACAGCTCAGAAACCAGCAGTTTTCAGCTGAATGGCTAGAATTGGGGCACATATATGGTCCTGAGGAAGTTCAGTGATTTTTAAACTAGCAGAAGCACTTTCATATAGATTCTGTAGGTAACTGGTAGCCAGTGTAAGGATTAAGGAACAAGGGAGAAATACACAAGAGAAAAAAAAATAAAGAGTTGTATTTTCCTACAGTAATGGTAGCCCACACGTACCCATCCTCCACTCAGTACTGTTCAGCCATGAGGTGTGGAGCTCATCAATCCCCATCAGTGTGACAGGCTGAATTCAATAAAGAAATACAAGGCAATTAAAGATGGAGAACACAACTAATATTGTACTTTTTTACTCTACATTTATTTAATGTGCAATTAGTGGTTACTTTTCAAATTAAGACTAAATATAGAAACCATGTGATCAGATCCTAGTATATTGTTACAGTTTAATGTAATGAACAGTTTGAAAAGGCAGTTAAAATTAGCTCCACCCTAACCAACTATAACATTAAAGTACTGCTAACATGGAAATGCATTTCTAATAACAGTTCAATAACACAGGATTGTTTCTATATAACAAATTCTTTTCATTTTGATACTTTCAGCAAATTATAATACTACGTTTGCACTTTTTTGAGGAACAATTCTGGATTCGCATGGCGGTCGGGGACAGTGGCTCTGGACTGGCAGACCGGGGTGGTGGTCCCTCTTTTTAAGAAGGGGGACCGGAGGGTGTGTTCCAACTATAGGGGGATCACACTCCTCAGCCTCCCCGGGAAAGTCTATGCCAGGGTACTGGAGAGGAGAATTCGACCGATAGTCAAACCTCGGATTCAGAAGGAACAATGCGGTTTTTGTCCTGGCCGTGGAACACTGGACCAGCTCTATACCCTCTTCAGGGCAGTGGAGAGTTCATGGGAGTTTTCCCAACCAGTCCACATGTGTTTTGCAAATTTGGAGAGGCATTCGACTGCGTCCCTCGTGGCGCCCTGTGGGGGGTGCTCCAGGACTATGGGGTCCGGGGCCCTTTGCTAAAGGCTGTCCGGTCCCTGTACGACCGGAGCAGGAGCTTGGTTC